GACATGGGCGGTGGTGGCGTGGCCCTTGATCTTGACAATCGCGAGCCCCGCTGGGCCTACGCCGCCGAAGTCGTGGAGCGCCTGCCGCACCTGTCGCCAGAGATGCCCCACTCTGAGGACGCCAACGTCGCACGGGTCTCGCCCCGTACGTCGACGCCGTCGGCGACGTAGCTGGCGCTGCAGCGCAGCTCGATGGGCGGGATGGCGTGCCGCAGGACGATGAGCACCGCCAGCAGCTCCGCGCCCTCGATGCTCTGCCAGGGACCAACCAGCGGCGCGCCCAACACCTTGGTGCGGCTGCCAACGCCTGGATCGGCTTCCTCGGGGCCTGTAGGTATCTCGACGACCGCTGCCGCGGCCTGCGCATCACGGCCCTCGGCCAGCAGCGCATCGCACAGTGAGCCGTCGAAGTGCAGTGGCTGGCCGACGAAAGGCTCGCCTGGCTCACCGCGACACCAGCGGAGGTGGTCGAGGAAGCCGCCGTTGGGAGGCCCCCAAAGGAGCTGCTGGGCTGGAAATAGGACGCGCTCGACAAGGCACTCGGCAAAGGCGCTGTCCTGCTGCGGCAACAGTAGGGCGATCTCGCTCGGGAGGCTGAGGCCGCGGTCCTGGATGGCGCTGCAGCAGAAGTGCCTGTGCCAGAGGTCGCCGACGTGGTTGGGGCAGAGCTCGCAGTTGCCCGAGGGGGCGCGCCTCGCGTTACGACCGTACTTCCTGGCGTTGGTCCACTTGCCGTCGACGACGCAGGACTTAAGGTAACCGCGCTGCTCGCTGCTGAGGCTGGGCCAGCTCCGTGCTTCGTGGGAGGTGCCGTGGCCGCTGGCCGTCGCCGCGGAAGCAGGCCGAAATCGACGCCGACGTCGAGCCAGGAGGCGTCGTGCTTGCTGAGCTGCATGCCCCGCCAGTGCTCTCAGCTGCGGCCGAGCAGCTTCTTGGTGAGCCACGGGCTGGTGTCGCTGACGCTGCGGTGAGAGCCGCCACGCGTGGTCCATGCACGCGTCGAGCAAGGCCGCCTCCAAAACCACGCGGCGCATGGGCAGGGGGGCGGCCTCCACGGGACCGCGGCCGTCGGCCCCGCTGCCCGACGCTGCCAGGGCCGCTGCGAAGGCCTTGTCCAGGGCCTGTCCGGGGAGCCACCGCTCCCAGGCAGCCCTGTGCAACGTGCAAACTGGGTCGCACGTCGCCTTGAACACGGGGCCGTAGTCCCTGCTGATGGTGGCGAGGACGGCGGCGCGACTTTTGCCTGAGGGCAGATCTCGACTGATCTGAACGCCATCATGCGCGCGGTGTCGAGATCGGTGTCGCCGATCCTCGTGCAGCAGACGCCGTAGGCACAGCTGGCCTCGACCCCCTGCTTGAAAATCCTTGCTGCGACATGGCGGCGGTGCCCTGGGCCCAAGAGCCGCCTGAGGCGTGGGACTCGCCTCGCGGCCTGCTTGGGGCGGTGCCGACGGACGAGCCTGGGCGCCCGTCCAACCCGGGCGCCATCCACTCCAAGGTCGCGGGCGGCACCCGCTGGCCGCGCCTTGGCGGCCCGGGCCAGGCGGCTCTCGAGCGCCGCGGCCGCTGCGGGCGCGCCGGCCAGCAGAAGAGACTTCTTGGTGGCGGCGTGGATGTCCACCGTGCGCAACTCGCTGACGATGCTGGTGACACTGGCGACGAGGTCGTCGGTCACGCGCCTGCTGCCTCCCACTCGCTGGAAGACCAGGTCGCCGACCGCGACTGACGGGACGATGCTCGGCGAGGCCCGCAAGGCGCGGTCGAGCGGGCTGAGGAGGATGAGCTTCATGAAGGTGGCCCACATGTCCCCTGCGAGGACCGTCTGCTGAACTTCGATGAGGTCCGAGACCGCGCCGTTGAGTTCCAGCGCCCGCGGCGTACGGCAAAGGGAGACTTGGAGCTTCACCGCCCATACTGGGAAGTCGTGCTGCGCGGCGGCGCCGATGAGGTGCTGGTGCCTCGGCTGCTCGAAGGCCTTCCACAAGTCGAGGATGACCGCCGCTGAGCTGCAGTCGAAGTCGGGCCTCTTGCCGCGCTTGGCCTTGAGCCACTCGCTCCAGGCCAGCTGCTGCCAGAACGCTCGCTCGCAGGCCTTGCCTGCGCAGGCCCACCAGAAAGCCCCGGGGTGGGCCCTCCCCAAGGCGGCCGCGACGTCACGCCGCAGTCGCCTGTGGACGCGGACCAGTGCGGCGAGGTGGGCGATGGGCGACAAGCCTTACGCCACCCTTCCTCTTGCTGATGAACACGGGCTTGCCGATGAAAGGGGGGCCAGCAGCACTCCTGCTCGACACTCATGAGCATGTCGGATGGCCTCGACGCCGCCGTCGTCGAGGGCGTCGACGTCGCGGGGGCAGAACGTGTCGAAGCTCGTGCCCGTGGTGGCGGCGAAGCTGCGAAAGACCCCGTCGTTGCGAAGGGTGGGGGGGGGGGGCGCTGTGAGGCTGTGCCCGTATGCCGTGTGGAGTTGCGTGGAGAGAGTTTGGGAACCACGTGCGCCAGCTCCACCAGCAGCACCGAGGCGCCGCCGCCCGGCGCAGGGCGCCCCCCCCACACGCTCGACGCGGCAGGAGCAGAAGCACGGGCAGCAGAGGCGCCAACATTTGGGCGGGGCGTCGCGCGCGCACCATTAAGCTTTGGCACGGCCGACCGCGCGGGCGCCTGGAACAAAAGCCCGACGGCCCCAGAACGCATGCGTGTGAGATAGACGTCGTTCGAAGACCAACCTATCGAGTGTGTGTATATATATATATATGTATATGTATATATACATATATATATATATATATATGTATATATATGTGATACTGATCGGTGGTGGTCTTTGCTAGGGTCTCTGGAGGCCCCCTGGAGATGCTTCTGTATGACTCGAGGGACTTCGGAAGGACTCGCGCGGGCGTCTGCGTCTTCGTCACGTGTTCGTCCCCGTCGCTGGCAGGGGGGGAGGAGGGAGGGGGGAGCCATCAACAGGTCATCGTCGATATCATTATGCAGCATGTACGACCCCCTTATCGCAAATCATTGGCTTACCAGCTCCCGCACATCGCGATGGTGGCGACGAGGGGGACGAGGAGGGCCGTCAATGTTTCATTCGCCCACACCCCATGATCTCCGAAACCTCCATCTCCGCCCCCATCCTTCCTCCTCTGTGGACGCCCTCCTAGTGCAATCAAAAAAGCGCTGCACATCAAAAAATGCTGCTCCAAACCGTCAACTAAGGCTGCTAGCCAAGCACTCCCCGCTAAGAAATGACAACGCTCGTAACGACACCGGCAACGATTCCCTACGGAATGGGCAAGAACTGCCTGACGTCGGCCATTGTTGAAGGCACGGCATCGCTAGAAAATAGACTGGACGAATTCGAACTCGAATGGCTCATCGCTGCCGTCGTTGCTGTTTTTTGCTATGGTCAAGAAATAAGGTCAGGCATCGTCCCAATTCCTGTCCCTACTTACTTCGGTAATCCTGATCCCCTCTTCCGACCTGCGTCATGCGGCCCCAGAGTCCGCCAAAACCTTCCTCTTCCCCCCCTGCACTCTCACTCGCCCAGCGTCCTTCGACCGTGTGCCAAGCCCTGCCGAACTGTCCTTCTAGTCCCTCGCTACCGAAACGTGGAGCGTTGTGCCACCAGAGTGACCGTCTGGAGGAGGGGAGGAAAGGATGAGGAGAGGGAGGGGGACACGGGGGAGGAGGGAGGATGAAGAGGGGGAGGGAGGATGAAAGGAGGAGAGGGGGAGCGGAGGATGAGGAGGACCAACATAAACCAAAGTGGTATCAACAACGCTGCAATAAACCCTCTCGTCCCATGTCCCCTCCTCACCAGTCTCGACCGTATGTCGTTTGCCCTGCTCAATGCGCCCAATTGAAAGACAAAGTGTCCCGTGGGGCAGCGGTTCTTCAGGCGGGAATGTTGTTTTGGAAAAACCGCCCTCCATCCTCCAACCTAGACGGATTAAAGTTTGATTAAAGCACGGTCAGGCTATAAGTTTCAAGGAAGCGCCCAACGACATCCCCGCTTTGCAAATGATCTGGCCTCCATCCGAGTGGCAACACTTCGAATATCGGACAAAAGCGTCACACGAACTATCACAAGGATCCGCACTCCATCTGATTAGCTGACTAATAGTAGTACACATATGGCGTATGGTGATATGTGTTGCGGGAACGTCAAACGATAACGAAATGCTCAAAACAAGCCAGCCTCCACCCGTGCAGCGTTTGTTGAAACTTACGTCTGTGGTGGAGAACGACCCTGTTGAAATCGGATATCCACCTCTATCCGTGTAACGGCTGGGCGCATTCGAAACGAATGAACGCGGCGCTAGAGCGAGAACCGCATGTTGAAAACGACCACTCCATCCGAATAACTGGTGGAGCATTTAAGATGCATGTGCGCGGCGCTACTTTTGTAAGGCGGGAGCCTCCTTGTTCATATGAGAGGCCGTCCATATTGGAAGAGTTGGGAATGTGTAACTTCGGGATCGAAGGCTTCCCCTGACGTTTCAAGGGAAACGCCTGGCGCGACCTACGTACACGTGTGGTGGTGCGACAGGGAGAAGCGAAGAGGAGAAGGGAGAGAAGAGGAGAAGCGAAGTCATTCTTGAAGAGGAGAAGCGAAGAATGAGGAGGCGGGGGAGTGGGAGGGGACGTAGGAGAAGGCGTAGGGGCAGGAAGAGAAGGGGGAGGATTCAGAGGAGTGAGGAGGAGGAGGAGGAGGAGGAGGAGGGGCCGGGCTTCAACTCAGGGGAGGGGGGAGGTGGAGATGGAGGGAGGAGAAGCGGGGGGAGGCGGGAGGCGGCGGGACCTGGTTCGGCCGAGAGCTCTCACCACAGGTCGGAGCAATGAGAGCTGGGTGGCCCGCCGCAGCACTCATTGCTGCACTGAGGCGGATGGGCGGAACGAAGAGAACAGACGGAGCACGGCAAGGAGGCGGCGGGAGGACGCAGACGTAGGCACGGGGCCCCGAGAGCCCCCTCCATGGGGGAAGAGAGCGCGCGGAGCACCTCGGCGGCCGGGGCACTGCGCGGCGGCGGCGGCAGGTTGTGCAGCGTCTGGAGGCCGAGGCCCAACGGGTCGCCTGCCGAGGGGGCGCTGGGCGGGGCTGGGACCAGGATGCATCGCTCCAGAGCTCGAGCGCCCTCAGAGCCTTTCTGAAGCGATCTGGAAAGGCCGCGGGGCCCGATGCGTCCTCCAGAACCGCTGGAACTCAGAGATATCCCTCGTTCGTCCCGGTCCGATGTTGTCCTGGTCCTGGCCTCGTCTGAGGGGGGGCAGGCTTGGCCGTGCTCGTGGTCGTGATCGTCGTCGTGGTCGCGGCCGCCTGCGCCAGCGAGGACCCACCTACGGCGACCGCCTCCCGTTTTGTGCGCCGCTGGAAATAAGAACGCTGGGTTAGCCCAGACAACCAGGAGGCGTAACCAAGCTGATGTCGTTTTGGACTTCAGCATGTGACTCCAACTCCTGCTCCGCCCCCTTCGCCCTCCTCCCGTTCCCTGCCACTTGTCCCCGTCTCCCTCTCCCACTTGTTCTCTCTCCTCCGCTCCTCTCTACACTCGCCCCCCCTCCCCCTTCGCCCCTTCGCCCTCATACCCGCGCCCTCTCTCCCTCCCGACACTCTTCCAGCACCTCCTTCTCCTCCTCCTGCTCATCCTCCTCCCCGTCCTCAAATGTGCCCAGGGACCTGCTCAGCGGTGCGCTTCAACCAGGAAAATCGAAGCGGATCCAGCAATGGCGACGAGGGCGCCCCAGGATCAAACCTCGACCACCTCCCTCCTCTTTCCTCCTCTTCCTCCTCCGCCCCCTGCGCCCTTTGCCTCACCCTCCGCCCCATGTGCGCCGGCGGACTGCCTACGCTGGCGTCGAAGAACTGGCTGTGGTCGGCGAAGCTGTCGGCTGGGGTGCCAGGCACTGGCGGTCGCGACGGGAGATGAGAGGAGGCGGGGAGGGCGGGGGGTGAAGGGGGGCAACGATAGGAGGGGAGGACTGGCTGGCGAGGGGGCATCGCCGACAGATTGCACTTTCGCCCCCGATGGACAAACAAGCACCCCCTATGCCCCTTGGAGGAGTGGGCAAACATGCCTCTCGTGGCTATCAATGGGCGATAGGGGATCGAGGCGTTGCCCCCTGACCCAGTTACCCGACCCCCATCGTGGCCCCTGAATGAATTGGATGAAGATCGAGGTCTCGATTGGGCCTCGAGACGCCAAGGGGCGACTCTTGAAATGACCGACGGAACATCGAGTCCCATTCGAAGCCACAGTGAACGCCCACAGCCTTGACTGTGGCAAGGGTGCACAATTGCGGAAGCGTCATGCCAACATGGCCGAGGGTGCGCCGAGCAGGCAATGCTGCAAGGAAAGCCTTGATGCAGACATGAATCATTACTTCTGGTCATGGCTCAGGGGTAAGGCAGACGGACACCACCAGCTCCATTGCGAGGAGCCAGAGACGGTCCCCGGTTGGTCTGGTGCCGCTATCAATCTACGTGCTCCTCGAGAAATCTCCAATCTCCAGCTCGTGGAGGCGTTGTGAACTTCCTGGCATGGGGTGGACCTGCTCGTCGTGCTGGTGTCGCTCCGCCTTCCTCCGAGAAAGAGGGGAAGGCCAGGACGGGAAAGATCGAAGAGGGGGAACGAAAGTATGAAAGCCAGAACATAATTACCCCAGTGCGACCCTACCTAGAAATTGGAGCCCCCAGGAAAGCAGCATTAGTTGCTGTGCTATGCTATGTCATGCCATGCCATGCTATGCTGCGCAATGATATGCTATGCTATGCTATGATATGCTGCGCTATGCTATGCTATGCTATGCTGTGCTATGCTAAGCTATGCTATGTCATGCTGCGCTGTGCTATGCTGAGCTATGCTATGCTATGATATGCAATGCTAAACTGCGCTATGCTATGCTATGCTATGCTATGCTACGCTATGCTATGATATGCTGCGCTATGCCATGCTATGCTATGCTTGACTATGTTATGCTATGCTATGCTAATGCAGCGCTGCGCTATGCTAAGCGTTTTGCTCGGGACATGAGCGTGGGCGGCTGTGTGGCAGGGCCTCCGGACTTGAGCCGAAATGGTTACGGAAGGCACTGGTTGCGGGGGCTCCGGTCCGGCCATCGAGGCTAGCTCGGCAGCTGTCGCACATTGCTTTTGCTTTGCCTTTCCTTTGCTTTGCTTTTGCTTTTGCTTTTGCTTTGCTTTTGCTTTGCGTTGCTTGTGCTTTGCTGCTGTCGCTGCTGTTGCTTTGCCTTTGTTTTGTTGCTATGCTATGCTCTGCTCTGCTCTGCTATGCTATGCTATGCTATGTTATGCTGCGCTGTGCCATGCTGTGCTGTGCTGTGCTGTGCTGCGCTACGCTATGCTATGCTATGCTGCGCTATGCTTTGCTATGCTGGGCTATGCTATGATATGCTATGCTGCGCTATGCTATGCTACGCTATGCTATGCTATGCTGTGCTCTGCTATGCGATGCTAAAGCTCAGCGAAGCTAAGATGAAGGTCAGCTAAGCTAAGAAAAACCTGAGCTAATATGAAGCTAAGCTAAGCTATGATGAAATAAGCTAAACTAAGATGAGATAAGCAACGCTAAGCTAAAAGGACGTAACTGGGGGAACCGCGGGGCGGATACTGGGGGAACCGCCCGGGGCGCTTTCCACTGCCCGGCCCCTTTGAGCCCAGAGAGTAAGAACCCTTCTAGGCAGAGCCTAGGTAGGGAATGACAACAGGGAACCATCAACTTCGGGGTCAACGTCGGCGTCGTCGTCGCCAACCTCGTCGCCGTCAACGTTGGCGTCATCGTCCTGATCGGCGTCGGCCGAGGGTGCCAACCCGCAGGGATCTTCCGACCGATGGTCCGCTCGCCCTCCTCGTCCCTACCCCCTCGAAGGGGAGGAGGGAGGAAGCGCGAGGAAGACAGCGCAGACCCCCAACATTCTGAAACAACTCAAGACAGATCGTGGGGCAGCCGGCTCTGGGGCCGCCACAACAGTTCAGTCTAGCCCGGAGAAGAAGCTGGCCCATGGGTGGGGGACGCAGACCCTCTACAAAACTGCCCTGGGTGAAAAGGCTGGAGCTCTGGAACCCGCGCCGAGCGCGACCTCGGGGGTCCGAGGAGGAGGAAGGAAGACGGGAGCCAAAAACTGCGGGGCCCAAAACATCACAACTGCTTGAACAGGCGACTTCCGCTGCGATGGTGCCCTCTCCCCCCCCTGCTCCTCCTCATCCTGGAGAACAGCGCTTCAGCGCAACGAGCAGTCACTGCAAAAACGTGCCCACCAAGCCTGTCCCAACAACGGCCGAGACGCCGCACGGCCGGACCTCCCAACCGCCCCAACCCCAGAACTCGCCATCGCTCAGACGCCCAATTCTCGATGGTCCTCGCAATATGCACACGTCCGAGCGGTGCCAAGAGAAGGAAGCTGCAGGTGGTGAGGCGCGTGGATGGGTTTGCCTTTAGCTTCCAACGTCATCATGTTCGCGTGGCTGCCTCTGAACGTGTCCTCAACTTTCGTTTTGCTCGCCTATTCGCTTACCTTTTGCAGCTTGCATTTCGTTTGCCACCGACTTGCTTTTAGCTAGGCTGCGTCTGCCAACCTACCTTTGCGCTCAGCCAAGACACCACACGAGAGCACCTTGCAACAATTACTGACCACGTTCCAACGTTTCGACTGCACGTGCTGGTAAACATGAGCCCCGCCATAAGAATTGGGATGTGACATGGGCAGAAACAGATGAGAGCGTGGGGATGTGGCATCTGGTTGACCTCTGCGCGCGTGACTATGCCTCGATGGCCTCTCGCCACGCCTCGACTATCACGAGAAATGCGAACAGTGACCAACTCATGAAACATGAACTCCTCTTCACCGTTCGACCTTGTCTACGGCAGGTTCGTGTCGTGCCGACCCCAGCGTTGGTTTTTGACACCGCGCTGGATCGTTCTACCTTGAACGATCGGCCGTCACCGCAACGTCCGATCGTTCAACATCGACCGATTCTGGGCCGCCGTCGGCGTTCAACGTTGAATGTCGGCGGCGGGGTCGCCGCCGGTCGACACGACGCGAACCTACCGTAAACACATCCTCCGAAACGGCTCCCCGTTCCCCTGATCATTGGCGCGGCGCCTCCGGTGTGAGCAGCACGGAAGTCGCCGATCCCGCTGTGCGCCGCGTTTCCATCCGGGGCGGGGCCCGCTCTGCCTCCCCGTCAAGTCTGCCTGCTGCTCGGCCTGCCTGCGACTCCCAAATGCGCCCCATGCACAAACAAGCACGAACGAACGATACCACTCGACGCAAAAGCCAAATCAAACCAAGTGGGCCCGTGCTCCCTGCTGCAAATCATGAGGCGGCAAGTGGGCCCCCCCCCCCAAGTCGCCCGCGCTGCTCTCAGTCCCACGAGACTTCTTGACATCACCACCCCCCCCTCCTCGTCCCTATCTTCCTCCTCCTCCCCTCCTCGTCCCTATTTTCCTCCACCGACGCCGAAACCAACAACAACGACCACGGCGGTGAACATCCCGCAGCCTCCGAAAACCTGCGGCATTTGTGAACCACCTCCGAGAGCGGTTTGAACGGCGACGAGGGCAGCGACAAGGACGTCGATGGGCGCGGTGACGACGACGACGACGAGGCCAGCGACGACGACTTTCTCAGAATCGGCACCTGGGACAGCCGCTGGGACATCTCCTAGGATGCGTTATGGCCAGACTCTTTAGTCACCGTGCTACAATAACGCTGGGTAAGGAGCGCAGAAGCTTTGCTGGCCACAAAAAGCCTCGGCCGCAAACAAGTTCCCCGAGTGAAAAGTTCAGGGCGAACGGTTCAACCAATGCTATGACCCCAATGGACTCGCACGCGCCCATGCAATTAGCAAATAGGACAGCGCTGCCTTGAACTAAGACAGCCTCGGATATAGCGTTCGCTACACAGCCTAACCTTACACCTCGCTGAGACATCGCCGTAAATAACGTCCCCGCAACCAGAGCGACTCCTGAGCCCAAAGTAATCCTTATTCCAGCGTCTTGGCCCAAATCGAACCCAGCCGTGGCGGCAAAAACGCCACCAACCAAAACACGGCAAGCCCCCAAACCTCCAAAACCTCGGCCCTCGAACCTCAAGTCGACGGACGCGGGGACGACCACGGACCACGACGGCGGCGGCGAAGAGTGCAGCGACGGCGACGAGGCGACGCAGAGCGCGGCGGTGGCGGCGCCGACGGCGACGTAGAAAACGTCGACGACGAGCGCAGCGACGACGACGAGGAGCGCGGCGGCGGCGGCGGCGACGGCGACCCCGATGGAGAAGACGCCGACGAGCGCCGTGCCGACGACGACGAAGACGACGACGACGAGCGCGGCAGCGGCGGTTCGCCGCCGCCGTCGCCACCGCCGCTGGCGCCGCCACCGCCGCCGACCACCTCCACAACCACCTCCACCACCACGGCCAGCACCACCACCACCACCACCACCACAACCTACCACCACCACCGCAAACCACTACACCACCACCACCACAACCCACCACATCTTCCACCACAACCACCACCACCACAAACCACCACGCCACCACCACCACAACCAACCACCACCACCACAACACCACCACAACACCACCACCACCCACCAACACACAGCACCCAGCACCCAGCACCAGCACCAGCACCGACACCACCACCACCAACACCACCAGCACCACAGCCCACCACCACCACTACCAACACAAACCAGCATGCCACCACCACCACCGCCACCCCCACTACCACCACCACCACAACCCACCACAATCACGACGAACCACCACACAACCACCACCACCACAACAGCCACCACCACAACAACAACCAACCACCACCACTACAAACCACCACAACAACCCACCACCACTACCACCAACACGCCCACAATCCACCACACCACCACAACCGCCAGAACCACCACCACCACTACCACCATCACAGCCAACCACCACCACCACCAACTACCACACCACCACAACCACAACACATCACCACACAACCACCACCACAACCACCACTACCACAACCACCACACAACCCCCATCACCATCAACGCCACAACTACCACCACAACCACTACCACAACAGCCTACCACCACCACAACCACCACAAGCCTCCACACAACCACCACCACCTCCCCCGCCACTACCACCACCACCACCACCACCACAACCACCTCAACCCACCATTACCACCACCACCGCCACCACCACGACCACCACCACACACCACCACACCACCAACACCACCAAGCGCGACACCACCACCACAACAAACCACAACCACCACCACGAACCAACACACCGCCACCACCACAACCACCACCACAACCAACCACCACAACAACTCCGGCCACCACCAACCACCACCAACCACCCAACCACCACAACCACCACCACCACCCAACCACCTCCAACCACACAACTCCAACCACCACCAACCACCACAACCACCACCACCGCCCAACCACCACCACCACCACCACCAACCACCACCACACTACACCACCACAACCACCACTCGGGCCACCATCACCACCACCACCACGACCCACCAACACCACAACAACTACCACCACCACCACAACAACCACGACAACCCACCACACCACCACCACAACCCACCACCACCACCACCACCACAAACCACCACCACCACGACAAGCGACCACCCCAACACCACAACCACCACCACCACCCCACCACAGCCACCACCGCCACCAACACCACCACCAAGCACCACAACACCACCACAACCACCACAACACACCACATCCACCACCACAACCACTACCACCAAGCTCCACACCACCACCACCACCTCCACCAGCACCACCACAACCTACCACCACCACCACCAACGACCACACCACTACCACCACCCCACCACAACCTCCACCGCCACCACCACCACCACCACCACCACCAACCACCACACCACAACCACCACCACCAACAACATCACTTCCACCACCACAAACCACCACACCACCACCACCACCACTATCACCCCACTATCACCACTATCACCACCACAACTCACCACCACCAACACCACAAACAAAACCACACCACCACCACCACCACCACACCACATCACCACCACCACCATCACCACCACAACACTCAACCACCACCACACACGACGACACCACCACCACCACCACCACCCACCACAACCACCTCCGCCATACCACTACCACCACCATCAAACACCACACCACCACCACCACCACCACCACATCCACCACCACCACCACCACCAGGACCTCACCACTAGCGGAACGGGGGGGAGAGGGGTTCGAAGCCCCCCCCTCGTGACGGAGGGGGGGGACGGGGTTCGAACCCCCCACCTTCAATCCAGAGGGCAGGGGTCCGGTTCCGAACCCCCCCCCTCCGAGCGCCCACAGAACGCGCTTATTCGCTTCGTCCCGGGCCAGATTCTGACGGCCCTTGGACCCAAAACGGACATCCAGAGCCAGAACATCAAAATACTGTGTCCTCGTCTGATCTTCTCGCTACCAAGCGGAACAACACGATGACTTCGACCAAGACTGAATTTAGAAACGTCAGTGTTGATCTTGGTCACCGTCCATCTTGGCCATTGCCAGTGAGAGGATCATGATCGCGAATCTGCGACGGCGAGCATGGGCGCGACCAAGATCGGCGTCGACAAGATCCCGCGACGTCTTGATCATAGACGAAAAGCCTCAGGACCCGCTTCCCTCCGGACCCGCTTCCCCCATGGCGAGATGTGTGTTTCAGGCTGGTACGCCGTCGGCGGTGAAGGCGCAGCGTAGTCCGCGGCAGGGCCGCCGAGAACCGCAGCAGCGCGCGCTCCTGCCGAGCGCAGCGCCGCAGCCCTGCGGCATGCGGCCCGCCGGCGGCGAGAAGAGGAAGCTGTGCTGAGCGGGCGGCTCCTCGCGGGGGCGCGCTGGTCGTCGGTCGTTGGTCGTCGATCGTCGGTCGGTCGTCGTCGTAGTCGGTCGGTCGGTCGGTCGTCGGTCGTCGGTTGTCGGCTGTCGGAGATCGGACTTCGAGTTTGACGACGTGTCTGGGCTTTCTGAACAGAGGGGGTCTCGGAGCGGGGTGGAGGAAGGGGGAGGAACATGAGGAGGAGGCAGGGAGGGTGGGGCCTCCTTTGTCCTCCCCCTCCCAGCAGAAACCGCAAGCTCAGGCCAGCTCCGCGCGGGAGCCTGGGAGCCAGCGCCAGGTCGTCCCCGCGCCTTCTCGGGTCTTCTTCCTGACCATCCCCCTGCAAGCTCAGGGCCACGGAGGGCCTGTGCTCTGGTCCAGGGCGCTTGATGGACCTGGCCAGTGATCGTGGCCGGCTTCGAGATCCCCGTCCCCCTGCTCTTCCACCCCGTCCCCGTCCACGTCCAAGAGGGGATCGTCCTTGACCGAGGAATCCCGCCTTCGCCGGGCCTTCCCGCAGATGCATGCCACGGCAGCGGAAGCCCCCCCCACGGCACCGCCGGCCGCCTCGCTCGGCCAGCGCAGCGACGAGCTCGGTGCCGGAGGGCCGAGGTCTGCGTCGCCGACCACCTCGTGCATCGTGCAGTGCACCGCGGCGGTGGCACGGCGCCGAGGCCAGGAGCCCACGAGGCCCGAGGCTTGCCGTGGCACCGGGAAGTGCACTCCAGGCCACTTCGCGGACTTGCTCGCCTCACGGAGCGACCGCGCGCCAGAGGACGCACCTGCAACCGCGCCTCGGGACGCTGGGGCGCAAGCCGGCGGCTCCGTATGGCATGATGACCACGGTCTGAGGCCAGGAGGCGCTGAACAGCTCGAGACCCTCACCAACGGCGCCCACCTCAGTGGCCAGGCAGGACACGTCATCGAGATGTTGCCTGGCCGCCGCCGATTCCTCGCTGAGCTGGACGGCGGCAAGCATATCAAGCCCGCCCGTCGACATCATGCCCGAGCAGGTAACCAACGCCAAGACTGGGCACATGGAGACCCCGGCGCACGTCTTCGCATCCTCCCTCCTCCTGCCTCCGTGCGAGCGTCCCGACAGCCGCTGTTCAACGCCAGAAGCCTCCTGCGTATATTTAGCCCATCGGGGCCAGGACCAGGCTCTTGGGGCCACGGCTCTGCAGCGAGAGCGCGCCCCCAGCGGCGGCTGGCCTCTCTCGGACTCCCTGATCCTGACAAGTTCCCGAGCCTCGCGGGGATGACTCTCACACTTTTCGGCCGACGGCTGCGTCGGGGGCGACTCCCATGATGGGCCTTTGGGCGAATCGCCCCTGGCGACGGCCCGCCCTGTGCTGGCCTCACGAGTCCAGGCACCTCAGGCTTTCAGGCCTACCCATCGGTCGGAAGAAGTAGGTAGAAACATGCGCTGGAAATAGATTGGATCTCCGCCCGCCTCCTGAAGAGGAGGGAAGGAGGGCAAACCACTCGATCATTGAACCAGGAAGGCGCTGAGAGTAGATCGGAATGTGAGCGTCCGAGAACACAACTGCTCCCACCGACCGATGGGCCTCCCTCGGGCACCTCGGCCACGCCTGGGAGCTCGGGGGAGCAGCGCCTTCAAGCCGTCGGGGCCACAGCTCTGGCCCCGCCGCCACGGCCAGGCCCCGCCTCTGCCTGGTGGACCCCGATTGGCACCTCCGCGGCCTCCCCTTTCCATCGTACGGCGCGCTGCTCGCAGCGCACCTTGCCATCGTTCGGACGTCCAGTCCCGATGCACGTTTCGGTTTCGCTCGTGAACTTTTCTCGGGGAAAGGGCAATGTCTTGCACACTTCTCTCGAGACATCATCAAACTCAGTCTGAAACAAGAAATCTCCGAGAAAGGGTATTTTCTTGTACATTGGTGTCCGTCCTTCTCAAATGGACGTGCTCCGAAGGCATGAAGCATACCGACAACCAGTCGTCTGGGAAATGCACAGTCAACCTCGCATGTTACCGTCTTTGCTGGAGTCTCACAGCCCATGGGAAGGCTCGATGACAAGCTTTGATCGCAAATCATATGTATAGCGTCTGGAAAAATGTCCTTCTTCATGCTTTGACTTTGAGCTTGACCATGAGCCACCGGAGTCGGGATCCCTCCAGCTCAACACACGGGCATGATGGGCGCAGCTTACCTAAGGCTGCGCTCACGCATGGCGTTCGAGCATCCTCTTCTGTTAGATTACCTAAGCCGCCCCTGTACTCGTTGCGCCCCCGCGTTGCCCATGACACGCGGTAAGCCAAGGCTCGGGGTGACACCCGTCTCACTCGCGGCTTCCTCTCTCTCTCTCTCTTTCTATCTCTCTCTCTCTCTCTCTCGCTCTCTCCCACTCCGTCTTCATCTCCCCCTCTCTCTCTCTCTCTCTCTCTCCCTTTCTCTCCATCCCAGAAACATGTCACGAACCCCACCAACTGCCATGCTGGACTTCTTGTCTGCCTCTCCATCGACGTTCTTCCACGCGGAAGCCCTGTTGGCCAGGCCCGCCCTGGGGCCACCTACCATATACTGGCTTTGAGAGTTGCTGCTGACTGGCTCCTCCCAGCCGAGCAGCGCTGTGCTACTTCCTCCCTGCTAGACCACCCCAGTACCACCGTTCCCTCGTTGATCCTGCATCTGGCTTTGCCCTTTGTCCCTCTCCCTCGGGGGGGTGCTGTGACAATCGGGGTGCATTTGGGGGTGAGGTCCGCCGCGACTTTCTATGCAACAGCGTGCCACACCTGCTGGCCTGCGCTCGCTTCGCCGCCGCACGCCTTGCATCCTCAGCCACGCTACTGAAATAAAGCACCCCCCTGGCAAGGAAGAGGGAGGAAGGAACAAAAACAATGATACAATCATAATTAGTTGGAGTACCCCGGCGATGGCACAATGCAGTTTCGTAGATCGATGCGAGAACCCTTGAAAATACAGAGTGCGCTTGCAACACAACAGCACATCACACAGGATAAAGACACTGCGAGCTGCAAATGGGCCGAACAGAACATGCGATGCAACTAAACAGAGAAAGACATAGTCAGCCGCCCCACCCCCCCAGCTTCCAAGTTGGCCGCGAAGACTGGGGAACTGTGCCACCCCAACTTCCACCGTTACTCTATGACGTGCACCTCCACTCTGTGTAACCTCCCCTTGTGTAACCCGTGCTCGAATGATGAAATAAGGCGATGGGAGAACACAACTGGAAAGAAACAGACGATGCCAAGCGCAACCGAGCGTTGCAACATGTTTCCTGAGTTAAGGTGAAGGTGCTCACTAGCTGCTCTACTGGACTGGGGCTCGGGTAATTACAAGTGCGCGTACAGAAGATACCGTAGCACCCCGCAGATGCGGATAAGAGTGAGGGTGCGGTGGAAAAGCACGCCGCAGGCGCCAAAGTTTTACAAATTATACAACGAGCCCGCCGCAGGAGCCGATACTTTCGTTAAACCAATGCGGGTAGGTCGCGGGTGGGTCGCAAGTGGGTCGCGGGTGGGTCGCGGGTGGATCGTTGTTGGATCGCGGGTGCCCATTATAATCACCTTAACAAGCGAAGCCGAGAAGAAAAAGCGCACACAATGAATGAATCGAACAAGTCAGGACTGTTTAGTAAACGCCCAAGGCCGGTTAGTAAACGTCAATTGTCAGATCTGGGTGGTTTTTCCTCCCTTGAGGATGGGTCGCGGGGTGGGTCGCGGGTGGGTGGCGGGGTGGGTCACGGGTGGGTCGAGGATGGGTCGCGGATGGGTCAAGGGGTGGGTCGCGGAGTGGGTCGCGGGGTGGGTCGCGGGTGGGTCGCGGGTGGGACGACGACAACAAACAACAATAACAACAACAACAATCATTTTACCCGAACGCTCAGTGTTCTCACCAGTGCCAGGGTTTTCATGCGACGCGAGACAATACCCCCACTTCGTGGGGGGGCAGTTCAAGCTCTACCAAATATCCAAACGACTCTTCGCGACCACCCAAACCCAGCTTCCCGCCCTATGACGTTGGGACACTTCACTTCGTGGCGTGCGGACGACCGTGGCTACTACACTGGCGTGGGGTACACACCCACAGAACTTGGTCACTTATTCGGGGCGCGCGTGTGCCCAGCATCCTGCAATTGTGACATACAATACATGACACAGACAGACAGAGAGAGAGACAGAGAGCAGACAGAGAGAGAGACAGAGAGAGCGGAGTTGGTCACATTTTTGGGGCAAGTTCCTAAGATCGTCGTGTTTTTTGTTGGTCTTGCGCGCGCGAATGTCCACTTTACTTTTTTTTGCAAGGGAGTATTGAAATTTGATTATGTTAGAACAAGAAAAAGTAGCTCGCGCGAGCTCATGTAACATAAATGTTGAAAAACCATTGGTTTTGTGGGAGTCGGACAGCGCGCGCGGGATGAAATTTGGACATTTTTTTTTGAAAAACCATTGGGTTTTTGATGTTTTTATGTTGAAATCGTTACGAAACCTAAGGTTCTGGAAGGATTTCGTCTTGCGCGCGCGAATGTCCACTTTACCTTATTTTTTGCAAGGGATTATTGAAATTTGATTATGTTAGAACAAGAAAAAGTAGCTCGCGCGAGCTCATGTAACATAAATGTTGAAAAACCATTGGTTTTGTGGGATTCGGACAGCGCGCGCGGAAGGACATTTTGACAATTTTTTCTTAAAAAACCATTGGGTTTTTGATGTTTTTATGTTAAAATCGTTACGAAACCTAAGGTTTTGGAAGGATTTCGTCTTGCGCGCACGAATGTCCACTTTACCTTATTTTTTGCAAGGGATTCTTGCAATTTGATCAAGTAAGAACAAGAATTTTCATTTTATAGTGTTTTTTGCAAGGGAAAGCGGGGGGGAACAAAACAACCGGATCCGGTACTAATCGTTTTGCCTGAGACTTCCTCACGAAAATGATGAAAATGTGGCTGCGGCCTAGGCGCGGCGGGGGGGTCGTGCACCAGGGGTCCCAACAATAATTATTCTGAAGAAGAAATAATGTTCAACAACAACAACAACAACAGCAGCAGCAGCAGCAGCAGCAGCAGCAGCAACATCAACAGCCACACCAACAACAAACATCATTATCACAACGAATTCCCTGTTCAGCCACGCACCCAGGGACAATGAATGACCGTTCGGCCCCCTCACTCTGATATGACCTTGCATGTGAACTCGCGTGAGGGGCCTGGAGCGAAGGTTGACCTCACCAAGATTCATCTGATGCGAGTGACTCCCCAGTGAAAAACACACCAAGAAAAGACGTGTGTGCCATGAAAGCTGATAGAGTACAGGGCACAACGCACGCGATTGTCCGCCACCGCGCCCTCGATATGCGAGTTGGAGTGTCATCAGGTCCATGTTCGATCTCCTGGAGCTTCAGTCCGCAACCCTGGGGATCATCGAGACAGAGGCCTGGGGCGCGTCGCGTGGCCCCTGGACCCCGTCGCCGTGTCGCGTGGCTTCCTGGCCCAGGAAGGCCCCCTCGGGCCCCCAGGCGGGCCACGCGTGCCCCGGCATGCCCGACGCCGCACGCCGCCCGGGGCGCCCCGAACCCCTCCGATGACGCCCGACGGACGCCACGCGGAGCCCCCACCGAGGCTGCCCGAGTGCCGCTTGGGGCGAGGCGGGGCGAGGCGAGCGCGCGGCACCGCGGGAGCGGGGCCCATGTGGGCCCGCGCGGGGGGGAGGGGGGGGGGGGGGGGGGGGGAAGCGCCCTCGGTTCTCGGTGCGTGTGCTCTGGTTGTCCACGGCGTGCTGTCGGAGGTTGCCTTCTGACCCCCTGCCATGGCTGAGCATCGCGTGCCATAGCCTTCCTTGCCATCGCTCGGAGCTGGCCCTCGCCCGTCCGATCGATGCCAAGCAGCCAGCCGCCTCACGGGCGGCCCAGCCGAAGACGCCGCGGCGCGGGGCGGGCGTTCTCCTGCGCCCAGGGCGGCGCTAGGCCGCCGCGGGCCTGGAGCCCGAGGCCCATGGCGGCGGCCCCGCAGGCCTGGGGGCGGCCGTCGCGGAGAGGCGCGCCCTCCGCCGCTCCGCCGCCCCCCTCCCGCCCCCTCTCTACGGCCCCCCCCCCCCCGCATCCCCCCCCCCCCATCCACCCACGCGACACCGCGCACCCCCTCCCCACTCCACCTCCTCCCCCACCTCCTCCCCCACCTCCTCCACACCCTCGTCCCCCACTTCGCCTCCCCCCGTCCACCCACCCCAGCCGGGACCTCCCGGGCCCCACTCCATCCCACCTCCCCGTCCTCCCCCCCTTCTCCCCTCCTGCGTCCCCTCCTCCCGCCTCTTCTGCTTCTCCTCCCCCTCCTGGAGTGGGTTTCTTCGACCCGCGGCCCAAAGAGACTCCTGACCCCTTCCCCGGGAACAGTTCCACCCCGGATGAACGTGCTGCGAATCGGAGGCCCGAAAGCGATCTCCAGGTGCTAGAATTGACGAAACACGCGCGGACGGAACAAACATCACACTGCTGCGGCAATTGACCCAGAACGGTTGCACACGACCACAACAAGGGGGCCGCGATGTCCCGATTTCGCGGGTCCAGGCTCCATCACCAGGGGTGAGAAGAAATACGCCAACCCTGTCGGCGTGTGCGGAACGTGCTTCCGATTGAATAATCGTCGCCGCCGTCGCCGATCCTCATTCCAGCTCGTCATCGTCGTCGTCGTCGACGTGTCCTTCAGAGTCGGCGGCACTGGTCGCAAGACCGTTGCAGCACACGCGCGCGCACACGCACACGCGCACACACACACGTTCACACACGCACATTCACACACATTCACATACACTCGCACACACATTCACACACACATGCTATAACCACGCTCGCGTTTCGCGCGCACTTGCGATCTAGCAAGCTCTAGCTGTAGTCTTTAAGTGTTCGGCATTGGAGGACATAGATTGTCGCACGGGTCGTGCCCCATCAGGGAGCTTCACCTGCGGCCCCAGAGATAGGCATGGCTGGCGTCCCCCCGCCGTTGCTGGCACGCTCCTCGCAGGGATCGCGCCCAAGAGGCTCCACTTACGCCCCCAGAGACGAGGTTCGCATAGTGGCACGCCCCGCACGCGGATCGTGCCCCCCCCTCCCACACATAGCTGCATTTGCGGCACCAGAGTGAAGCTTCATAGCGCCGCCCCGCCCATTTCAGCACATCTCTCACACGGATCGTGGCCCACAGGGATCTCCATCTACGGCCCCACAGGCAAGGTTCGCACTGCGCCCCGCCTGGCCATTGCGGCACACCCCATCACGTGGATCGTGCCCACAAGGAGCGCCACCTAAAAGCGCAAAGACGAAATGCGTACAACGCTCCCCCGCAAATGCCGGCAAACCCGTCACGCGAACCATGCTCCACAAGGAACTCCATCTATGGCACCCATTGACAACTTCGCATGGCGTCCCCCGACCACTGCGAAACATGCCTCGCACGGGTCGTGCCTGGAGGAAGTCCATCTGTCGCCTCAGTGGGGCACCCGAATTATTCAACACACCTTTCACGCGGATCGTGCCCTACAAGGAATTCAGGACCTCAGTACACCCATGCACGCGGCTGTAATTAATCCCGCCAGCCCTTTGGGCGACAGGTGGTCTAAGGAGGGTCTCCTTCTTCTTCCACGACCCCTCTTCCCTTCGGGGAAGGGAGCCCTCTCTCCCTCCCCTCCCTAAGGTTTTTTGGGAGGGATCGCGAGGTGTCGGAGGCTCCTTTTTGTTCGGTCATTGGGAGGGACATGTTCTGCCACCCCTCACGAGGCTCGTGGCCCCCGATGTGATGGCGCTGGTGGGCAGGGGGGGCGCAGCCAAAAGCCGCTGAACACGAGTGCCACTGAGGGGAGGAGGAGAAGGAGGAGGAGGAGGAGGAGGAGGAGGAGGAGGAGGAGGGGGCGCAGCCAAAAGCCGCTGGACACAGATTAAGATGGGGGGTGGCCGGCGGCCGCACTGCCGCCGGCGACGACCTATCCAGGGACGGGAGCGTCTTGGCGGGGGGGTGCCGCGCCACTGCGACTCGAACGCGCCTGTGCCCGTGAAGGGTGGACAGGACACGGCTAGCGTGGCCTCCGTGCCTCACACAGGGCACCCATGCACTGTACCTCTTGTCCAACGGTCCATTGTTGTTCCTCCTCGGCCTCCTGCAGGGGGGGGGGCGCAGCCAAAAGCCGCTGAACACAGGTACGCGGTGGGGGGTGGAGAGCTGCAGGGACATCCCGGCAGTGCGCCGGCACATGTGGACCACGCTGGAGAGGGTGGTGCCACCGCCACCGCTGACCGACAGAAACGGGATGCAAGAGTACCAGAGCCACAGAGGGCGGACCCGGGACCAGCGGCGGCCCCCCAGGGAGCCCGGCGCCAGGATGCAACCCACAGGAGAACCCGCGGGACACGCAGTCCGTTCACACTACAGCCGCTGAGTCCACACATCCAATCAGGTACATGTGCCTCCGCCTCTACTCACAGCGCTGCAACTGTGACAGTGGGCGCCGAGACGACGAGCACGATTTGAAGGAAAGGGTGCCTGCGAGAGCCCCATCAGAGATAGGAAGGGCCCCCGTCACTGCCCACAGCGCAGCAATGATGGCTGGGAGCGCCGAGAAGACGAGGCGTGCACGGGGGGGGGGCGGAGGCGGGCATACGCGAAGCGTCAAGAATTCAGGGTCTCGTGGCATGCTCGTCGGGAGCCTCGTGGAGCGAGCGCTGAAGCTTCTTATGGCCGCATGTGGGCCATGTGGGGGCCTCTTGGGGTATCCTGTGGGGCCCTTGGGGCCTCTTGGGTGCATGCTGCGGCCTCTGGGGCCCACTCGTGGCGGCAGGATCGACATGCCAGTTGGTTTTCCCCATATTGGACTCCTCTTGGGGCCCTTTTGGGCCGTCAGGGGGTGAAACACTTTTGGCCTCCTGGGGCCCTCGCATCTTGGAGCCTGCCGGCGACATCTTCGGGGCCTCTCGAACCGCTTCGAAGCAATATTGTGGCGTCTTCGCCTGTGTCAGGGCGCTCTGGTCGCTTCTCGGTGGCCTCCAGGCCTGTTTCGAGCAGGGGAGGGAGGCCCGGGAGGCCCCGAAAGGGGTCAAACATGTCGTGGGGGAAACATCTGGGAGGGCGTCCGGGCCCAGGCCCTGGGCCCCCAGGACGCCAGTGTACATGCATGGCGTCTGGGGGAACTCCTCCCCCATCCTCATCACGACTAACATTCACTGGGTGGTGCGATTCGGTCACAAACAGCTCCACTGAAGTAGTGACCCGCAAATGCATTGAACTGGAAATTACAAGGTACCAATGACGCGGATTAAGCAGAGACCTGCAGCCCTAGAGGAAGGCAAAGTTGACAAAGCGTCCCCCCACCAATTTCGGCACGGCCCTCACGGATCGTGCCCCCCGTGACTGTCTAGCGCAGGGACAAACTTGAAATGACGTCCTTCCCCCCATACCGGCACACCGTTCACACGGATCGTGCTCCAGAGGGATGTAGTTTCACACGCTGCCCTGGTGGGAATAATCGCACGGTAACTTGTTAACAATATTTCTAGTTCGCGCGCGCGGAGCGGCCCCTGGGGGCCCCCGGACGAAAAGTACCCCGGCAAGGTCCCGAGAGAAGCCCGGGAGAAGCCACCAGACCACTCCAGGGGAGGGTATTTTTCGACACCCCTCACGAGGATCGTGGCCTCCGAGGGGGGAGCCGCAATCGACTACCCCCAAGAGCCCCCCAAGAGGCCCTGGGGGCCTCCAAAACGCCGCCAAGGAGCCCCAAGAGACTCCCAAGAGGTCCCCAAGAGGCCCCCAAGAGGCCCTAAAGAGGGCTCCAGGGCCGGCGGCATGAGCGAAGCGATTAAATAATCGCATAACGTCACGAGCCCCTGTTTATGTTGACTGTCTCTTCTCACGGATCGTACCCCACTTGGAGCTCCATCGACAACCCGAGAACCAAGGTTCGCATCCCGCCACCCCGCCGATGTCGGCACACCCCTTACCTGGATCGTGTGGTCGGGGATTCTTGGGTGCCTCTCGGCGCGCGGGCTTCGGCGGCGATACCGTTTACGCGAAAATGACTCGTAACCTTGGAAATTCGCCATTCCGAGTCCGCGGGCTCGAAGCTGGGCACGGTCGGCGGCCGCCGCCGAAAATCTAAGAAATAAACGCGACACATAAGTGCAGGTTTTTGGGCCCCGTATTGTCGTGGCCAGGACTGCATTGATTTTCTTTGAACGGCAGAATTCTGACGACATGATGCGGTTTCGCGTTAACTTCTGACGCAGATAGAAACAGTGGGCGCGAAACTGATTCGTAACGTTGGAAATTCACCATTCAAAGTCCACGGGGCCCAAGCTGAGCACGATCGGCGGCCACAGCCGAACATGTAAGAAATAAGCGCGGACCACAAGTGCAGGCAGGCCTTTGGGCCCCATAGTGTCGTGGCCCAGGCTGCGCATATTTTCTTTGAACGGCGGAATCCCAACGTTCTGGTACGATTTCGCGCTAATTCATTACATCGACGGTAGGTCCTGGTTCCTCCTCTCTATCCGTTTCCTCCGCCATCTAATCCTCCTCCTCCTCATCCTCCTGCTCTGCCTCCTCTTCCTCCCCCGTCCCACTCTGCCCCTTGCCTCCGACAACGTGACATTTCATAGTCTCAAGCTTCCCCTATGGGGACGACGACCACGAGAGTGATGACGACTATGAAAAGGTGGAGAAGAGGGAGTACGAATGGTTCCATCTGGGGCCCTCTTCGGCATTCCTTGGGCCGTCGAGGAAGTGTCATTGGACAGCTCGGTAATGTCGTGGCTATCGCGAGGTGAGTGTGTGGGATATTTGAGCGGTGGTGTTCTCTATTGGGGATTGTCTCTTGGGACCTTCGTCTGGATCGCCTGGGGGTGACCGGGAGCTCAATATACAAGGCTGGGTAACGCAAACACTGCCACCGTGCCTGGGTTGTGGGTCAGATGCCTCTTGAATGCATGTTCAGCTCTCTTGGGAAGTCTCTTTGGTGAGCGTCTTGGAAACAATGGGCCTTTGAGGGGCCGTTTGGGTGCCTCCTGGACATTATTTGGGACGCTCTGGGAGCATCTCGGGGGATTCTTGGGGGCCTGCTGGCGGCATCGGAGACCCCCTTGGAGCGGAGGGCTCGAAATGTGAATTCGAATCCTCCTTTTGCCCCTCTTAGTGCACTGCCGGGGCTCTCTTGTGCCGTCTTGGGTGACTCGTGGGCCGTCTTCAGCCTCTCTTGGGCAGCTCTGACGCCTCATTGGGGGCCATGTGGCCGTCTGGGGCGCTCTTAAGGGAGCAATTGGGCCGTTTTGGACGCTATGAAGACCAAAGTGGTGCATAAGTCAAACGCGTACGTTTTCCGCAAGGAATGACACGATATTGGCCTTTTGGGGGGCCCTCCTAGGGGTGGGGCTCTCGAAGTTTTCTCGGGGCGTCTGAGGGACCTCTGGAGCCGCTGGGAGGTTATCTTGAGCGGTTTTGGGGCGCATTTGGGGCGCTGTTGGGTGCTGTTGGCGGCCTCATGAGCAGTGTGGAAGACATCGTGGGCGCTCTTTGGATGTCTTGAGCGGTCGTCGGCCCAGCAGGCCCCAGGGGGAGGTGGACCAAAATTGAGGTTTCGAAGGCGTGGCTCATGGAACCCAAGTTTATTCCCAACGCTGATGTACATGCACAGAGATGTATCCACTTACTTGTGCACACACGCCCTATCTCAGCGTGCACACATACATGTATACGTGTATGCATGCAATAAGGCATACATGCATCCATACATGCACGCATACATACATACAAACAAACACACATACATGCATTCACCCATCCACATATGCGCAGACACGCACATGCATGCATGCATGCATGTATGCATGCATATACATATACACATGCATACACATAAACGTACGTCCAAACACGCATACATCCAGACAACCATACCCCCACACAAACATACATGCATGTATACATTCATACATAGCATTGACTTACAAACCATGTCACTACAGACACACATGCATGTACGCATGCATGCATACATGTATAGACCCATACGTACATCCATGCATGTACATACACACACATACCTACATGCATACAATAAACATGCATATGTACATGCATGCATGCATGCATGCATGCATGCATATGTGCATGCATGCATACATATACACATACGTGCGTATATACACAAATCCAGATGTCCGTACACACATACATACACGCATCCATACCTATTTGTGTTGCGTCGGCGGCTAGGCAGAGTCACTGCGCTGGCGAAAAGGGCGTGGTGTGGTGCACAGGACGCGAAGTATAGGCCACCATGCAAAAGAGGAGGACGAGGAAGCGCCCGGCGGCGGCGGGGGGAAAGGGAGAAGCCGGGCAAGCTCACAACAGGTTCAGGGACATCTCCTGGCGGCGCCGGTGGGGGGCAACCAGCGGCGGCGGGCCGACAGCCAGCGGCGGCGGGCCGAGCGCAGCTGCGGGGCAGCAGACCATGGCGAGGAGCCAGGTGCCCCGCTGGGGCGGGGGCAGGAGGTAAACGCGGACAGAAAGAGGCCGGACTCCCCGAGGGAGGGGCCAGCGGTCCGCGCAGACGTGCACACACCTGCGCGCATGCATACGAGGCATACAAGCATGCACGCCTACACACACACACACATGCAGACATGGCTGCGTGTAGAGCCCGCACCGGCAGGCGTCTCAGGGAGCAACCCTTCGGCTGTCCGGGGAAGGCGTGGGCGCGCTCCGCCCACGCCTATGCTGCCGGCGAGGCCGGCGGGGCGGGCCGGCGGCGGGCCTCCGTGGTGCCCAGGACGCCGCCGGGTGGTCCCTGGGGCCGTGCGGCGGAGACGACGGGCGCCAGCGGCAGGGCCACCTGCGCGGAGGGCGGAAGGGCCGCCCCTCAGACTCTGGTCGGCACCTCAGTGGCAGGGTCCTGGGACAGGGTCGGGCTTGACAAAGGGGGAGGGGGGATAGGGGAAGGGGGGGCGGGAGATCTACTGGGGAAATCGCCTCAGGAGGCGCCAGGGAATCGGCTACGGGAACCGATCTGCTACCACATCCCCCGTCCTCAAGCACTCCTGTCGTCCGACCCGAGTGGGGCACTGCGTTGACGAGGCAGGGCCCAATCTGCGTACCCTTCGATGCTCGAGGTCTGAACTTGGAGAACCGAAGAGATTTATAGTCATTTGGGAACTTTCTTTCGGAGGGCTCCATGAACGCCCTCTTGCACACGGCTGGATCCACCTAAAAAATTCTGGCCAGAAGCACGGGACGGGACGGGTGTGAAGGAGGACCCCGAGTTTCAGGAGTCGCACATGACATGCTGAATGTGAACCTGATATATGACCATTTGGAAGCCTTCCCGACCCCGGGGCCGTCAAGAAACGACTCAGAATTAAAATATGGCCCCAGGGAATGAGTCGAGATCTCCAGGCAGCACGCCGCGAAACAACACCACGTTGAAGGAGAGGGGACGACCACAAATACAACCGAGCCTTCACACAGGCACGCATTTACAAGACATCCCTGCCCTTTTCTTTCCGTTGGTGGTGTGTTCCCATTGCCATCGTCCGAGAAGGCCAGTGGCGGGGGTCCTGTAATAGACTTCCTCCCTTTGGTTGTGGGCGTGGGCACCAAGCCTGCGGGAGGACGCTGCGGGGACATTGCCAGAACCTCCAACTCCATGACACACACATCAACACTAAACTGGGGTGGTCGCACAGCGGTAGGAAACTGCTGTTCCAATATTTTGATATTTCACGTTGTACTGCAATGTTCGGTATTGTGGCCTGTCCGTTTGCGGACAAAAACGCAACATAACACACATACAAACAGACACACTCACTCACACACACACACACACCACACACACGCACTTACTGGCGCCGCGGCCTCGCGCGCAGCGACGAGGCGTACAAAGTCAAGCCGAAAGAGTGGCAGAGTGCGAGCGATGACGGCCCCTCAGAAGATGGGGCAACGATCCAGCCATGGATTAACCGTGCCATCCGCATGACCGATCATGGGCAGCGGTGGGGGGGGGCGGTGAAACGACAGTGTCAGCTCAGCGGAGAGCGACAAGCAAAGGCGCAGTGCAGCCCGAACGGACGTGGACGAGGAACAAGGCAGCCAGCAAGCAAGGTGGCAGCAGAGGGAGGGTTGTGCGAAAACTAGCTCGTGAAGGTACACAATAGAAAGAGAAAACACAAGACACACGCACACGCGCACACACGTACACACATACGAATACTGTGTCATCAGTTTCTGGACAGTTGTCGTTTATGTTCGCCTTCAACTTTGCAAATGCCCGCCCCCCTTGCACGCCCACGCAGTCGTCTTCCTGTATTCAATGCATGTCTGGTCGGTGTTCAGCTCTCGAATATCTTGACCGCTCCTGCCCCTTCTGGCGCCACCGATCAAAATTACCACATGTTGCTGTATCCGCTTCGAGGTCGACAACTTGCGATGCTGAATCGTAGATGTTCATCTGTTTTCCGTTCTCAACTTCCCGAATGCAAAACAAGACAGCTACGGAAAAATACCCTGGCCGTCTTGAGAGACAGCCAAGGCCATGGGGCGGAGGGCGGAGGATGGGCGGCGTTTTCGAAACACTGGCGCCGACAAAAATAAGGTCCGCGGCGGAATACGAGACCCCAGAAAGGCGTCGAGAGCACAAGGGCCGCCTATGGAAATGGGAACCGGGTCGACGCGGGATGTTCTCGGCACCCCGGATGGCACAGTAGAACGAGGTGAACAAATTTGGTGCGTAATTCTGACCCTATGATTTTTCTGCATGAGGGTTGTTCAGACTGTAATCCACCACAGTGCCGTCCCCTTGAATTCTCTTCCTTGTTCACGACAAATGCTGCCTAGGCTTGAGTGCCCCAGGTCCTTGATTTCCAGCGCTCCCGAGCGTTCTTGGGGCGAATGACTTTGCTATAGAGGCCTCGCCACATGGGACTGACGTGTGGCTGTCGGGGGCATCTTGGTTGGGCCGCCCAAGCAGCCCGAATCACAGAAGCCATAGGAGTTCCTGAACGATGCTCGAACGTTCGCCTTTTCGATATTCATAGCGTCCAAGACGGCCACTTGGAAACCTCCACCCCAAAAAAGGCCCCGATGCAGCCAGACCCGCAGGAGGCTCCAACGAGGGCCCCAGGAGGCTCCCAATAGGCCCCCCAGGACGCCAAGAGGCTCCAAACATGCTTCCAAAAGATTGCCATGATGACACCAAGAGGCCCCAAGAGCCATCCACGAGTCGTCTTGCCCACGACCCCTGCACGGTGGCGGGATGGGCGAAGGCTACCGGATCATGTGGGAGAGTTGAGGTGAATACCTGCCAAGAATGGTTCTCAGAACCACATGTGTTCACCCTGTTTGGTCAACCGTGCCATTATATCGGACCACACCTCCGACGTCGTGCGTTTTCGCAATTGGCGTCGAGGGGCGGCCCAAGACTTCCGACCTACGTCGTGATTTATTGGATACGCGAGCACCTTCCCAGGGACCAGGTTTCGGTTCCATCTGGTTCCAAGCGTCCCGGAGACGGCATCGCGGTACCGACAAATGTTGAAGCGCGAACCGTCCCTCCGGTAACGGCCGTCCTGGCGAGAACATAAACCAAAAGAAACAGGGTCATCATTCCCCTCATGTAGCGCCCGTTATGGGGGGGAGGGGCGGGAGGGCCTGCGAGCGGCACAGAATGCTTGAGAGCACCAAGTCACACCTGTCAACACCCCAACATGCTTGTGAACACACCGCGCCATACCTGCGAGGAACCCTCACCACCCCACCGCATAGGTTCGGTACCAATGCGGGCGGGACGGGGGGCGACCCCCCGTGCCGGACGTTGTCGATTCACCGATAACGGAAACAACATCGAAGCAGGCTACGATACAACTTAGCCTGGCGAAGGACCCAATCATAAGCAGTGATACGTACCGCCGTTGTGAATACAATCTTCGGTGGATCCTCCTATGCGGCCACGAAACGATTGAGGGGCGTGCCAAAGTGGCCCGTCGGCGGCAGGCGGCCTTTTCCACTAGAGCTTTCGGTGGAGCTCCCCATGGGGCCACGAAACGTGCGAGGGGTGTGCAGAAACTAATTAGGCGGCATCGACATACCGACCCTGCCGCTGCGCCCTTCGGCGGTGCCGCCTTAAGCCACGAAACGTGCGAGGGGTGCGCCAAAATGTGGGATGGAACCGCATGTGGGCGCTGCCACTGGGGCCTCAGGTGGAGCACCCTGTGGGGCCGCGGAACGCGTGACGGGTTCGCCGAAATGGGGGGCTGGAACCGCATGCGAACGCAACCACTGGGGCCGTCGGTGGAGCTCCCTACGGGGCTACGAAACGTGTGAGGGGTGCGCCGAAATGGCGAGGTGGCAGCATGCAGGCCCCGGCACTGGGGCCTTCGGTGGAGCTCCCAACGGGGCTACGAAACATGTGACGGGTGCGTCGAAATGGCGAGGTGGCGGCATGCGGGCCCTGGCACTGGGGACGTCGGTGGAGCTCCCTATGGGGCCAAGAGACGTGTGACGGATGTGCTGAAATGACGAGGTGGCGGCATGCGTGCCCTGCCACTGGGGCCTTCGGTGGAGCTCCCTCTGGAGCCACGAAACGCTGCACTGGGTGTGCCGAAACAGAAACATGCGGAGGGCAGAGGCAAGGAGGGTGAGGAGGGTGGAGGGGTAGGAGGAGGAGGAGGAGAGGAGAGGAAAAGATGCGGGGCGCTGTCTCTTCAAAACGAGGACCCAACACCACAGGATGCTTGGGAAAACCTGTCGAACACACAACAACGAACACACGCGCTCCATCCTCGACCCTCGACGCCGGCAAGTGCTCTGGCGCGCGGAGCTCCCGCCTGGCTGCCGGGCTGCTGCATGGCGTTGCCTGCCGGAGCCATCGGCCGCGACGGCAGGGGTCCGAGGAGGCAAGCGGCAACGATATGGGGGGGAGGGGGCCAGCTGAGGGGGGTAAACATCGAGCTGCAATCGGCGCTACATCGCCGATAGATCGGCGACAAACCCCGACGGCGAATCCTCACGTTCCTGGGGAGGTTGGGGCTATCAGGCCCCCATGGTCGATGCATGGTCGACTGGGGGTCGTCCCCGCCTGCCCATCTCCCGCACCGCTGCCCCCGGACCGGCCTCGAGACAGGCGCGCCGCGGCGAGCGCCGAGGGGCGGCACCAGCCCTGCCTCGAGGCAGACATGGGGCGATCACGACGCCCCCCGGAGCACACGGCGAGGCCGCAGCCCCGAGGGGGCGAGCACGGCACCCGGGGAGCGGGCAGGTGGGGATATCCCGGCGGTCGCCGCCCTGGGCGGCCGAATGGCTGGAAGGCACCCGGGGCCGGAGGTGGGCAGGCATTCCCCGACGTGCCCAGAACGGATAGGCCTGCAGTCAGTGCGCATCATATCTTCTTGCCTCCTGTCGAGACCCGCGTCACAAGCCAAGGGGGAGCCCCTCGGCGCTCCCAGGTAGAGGTTGCCCCACATAGGTTGCAAAAGGCATGTGACCTTCATAGATTGCACAACTTACACTGCACAGAAAAGCGTGCATGACATGGAGTGTTCAACATAGACGGCACTACATAGATTGCACCAAACATAATGCTCCACCTATATAGCACACGCTATGTTGCTAGAAACACACTGTGTGGAGTCCACGCTGGCGAACATCAAGCTATGGTAACCCAGTCCAGAATTGCAGTTTGATGCAGGGATAACCACACATAATACTGGCAAACAAAACATTGAACACGTGCAAGAATAGTGCCAAAACGATCGTGCCAGCTGCGAGGGGAAAACCAGAACGCAGGACCTGCCGCCCTCGCCGTAAATCATTCCCGAGACGTGCACAAGTTTGACCCCAGGAATGCCATAAAAATGTGGGAAGGCGACGCGGCGCCTTTGAGCGAAAGCAGGTGCATCAATTGAGCAGGGACCGACCGTCCCGGTATTCTTATAGTCCTACCACGAAGTGTTCTTAGAACCCAAATATGGTCTAAAAACAAAAGCGATGTTTTTAGAACATGAACCCGATGTGATAAAACAAGACAGACTCCGACAGACATGTTCTGATAACATTTCGTGGAAACGACAAAAGGTTCTTAGAACATTGTTTGGTAGGGCTATAGGCGAGCCAAGACGCTTCGCCACTGCCTGAATCAAGCCCGGTAAGAGTGCTACGTGTGATGAACCAAACGCTTCTGAGACACACAATGGCCTGAACTCGGGCCATTGTGTACGGAAATGTTCGGAGGCCGTTCTCGCGTCTCACAACGTCCCTGCCTGGGACGCCTCGCGGGGCACACTGATCCGTGGCTCACCAAGACCACATGACAAACTTTGTGTTGACCGTCTGCACACGCAGACGGCGACGCCAACCTCTGCTGGGCGGGTGTGGATGGCACCGACGGGGCGTCCGTGCCAACTTCACTCCACGACGCCATCATGGACACGGTCACGGTACACACCGCAGGAGTATACCACCAATGCCAATCCCAGCCCACAATAATGGGTGAGGCAGAGGTTGTCCGAGCCCCGTGCATCTATATTGGGGCAGCCAAAGCAACATGCTGCGCTGACTGTGGCAACCTCTGAGCAAATGACATCTTCTGAGCGATCCACTTGAAAAATAGCCGTCGCCTTGCCACGAGCAGCCCCAGATGAGGAACGAAGCCTCTTGGTCGCCCCCCTCACTCGCTTGCATGCCAGAGGAGCTGCAGGAATAACCCGATTAAATCCCGTGGGCCCTTGAGGGCGAGGGTACGGTTAGAGCACTTGCGTTTCCAATCCCGTTCTTCACCTTCGGGGAGGGGTTGCCACTGTTCCTTCTTAGTGCTACCAGCTTGCTGGTGCGAGTGACCAGTCTGCACGGCGCGCAGCTCAATCACGGCGTGTGGAGTGATGGCATCCTAGGGCGACATTGCGACGAGGCAATATGCCCCTGAGCGCAGACCCTGCCCATCGTCGGGGCAAAAAAAAACACGGGTAAATTTCCGTCGCAAGAACAAAAGGTGAGCATTTAACCTCGACGGCGGAGTGCGTACGCTTTTGCGTGTAGAGAAACGTGAGCGGTCAGACTTCACACTCCTGATGGTCGTCCTCGTCGCCCTTATACGTTTCGCCCTGGCGGACGCCCTCTTCCCGCCTCCTGCTCAACCTCGTCATCATCCTCCAGCCTCCTCCCCCCGTCGACCTTCGACCCGCCTTTCTTGCAAGAACGCGCACGCCGAATTTCCTGGGCGCCCATGCGGAGGGTCCCGCTTGAACCTCCCTCGCGGCTCATTCACAGACAACCCCCCCAGCTCGAGATATTCTCACGACTTGTCCCATTGGGGTGCTCTAGTGCTATGCATGGTGGAATCTGCCGATGACCCGCCCAGATTGTTAACATGAAGCGCGGGCCCCACAGGGAATGGGGTTTCCGCTCGAGACTTCGTCGCTGGTCACTAACAGGCGAAGCCCCCGCCCGAGACATTCTCACCATGTGCCCCCTTGGGACGCTCAAGTGTTCTGACTCGGTTGGGCTACTGACATGAAGATCGGTCCACATGGGTAGAGGGCTTCCTCTCGAGACTTCGCGGCCATTCACTCACAGACCCCGCTCGAGACATTCTCACCATTTGCCCCCCCCCCCATGGGATGCTCTAAACCATGCCTGCTTGAGACGGTGACCCGCTCGGACTGCTACCAGGAAGCGCGGGCCCCAGAAGGAGGGGGTTCCCTATCTAGACTTCGCGGCCCTTCACTTACAGACGGGACCGCCGCTGGAGACATCCTCACGAGTTGCCCACTTGGGGTGCTCAAGTGTTATGCATGCTTGAATGTGCCGATGACCCGTTCGGATTACCAACAGGAAGAGCGGGCGCAATAGGGAGGGAGCTCCCGCTCGAGACTTCCTCGCGGTTCACTCACAAACGAGACCTCCGCTCGAGACATCCTCACGATTTGCCCCCCTGCTGATGCTCTGGTGCGATGCCTGGTAGAATGTGCTGGTGACCTACTCGAACTACTAACATGAAGTGTGGGCCCCATAAGGACGGAGCTGCCGCTTGAACCTCCCTGGCGGTTCACTCACAAACAGGGCCCCGCTCGAGGCATCCTCGCGGTATGCACCCTTGGAGTGCTCTAATGCTAAGCCTGCTGGAATACGCCGATGACCCGTTCGGGACGTGCGGGCCCCAGGGTGCTCCCGCTCGAGACTTCGTCGCGAGACACTCACAAGCGAAGCTCCCGCTTGATACGTCCTCACGCGTGCCCCCATATGGGGTGGTCACCTGTGATGCCTGCTGGAGTATGCCGATGGCCCGCTCGGAGGGCTAAGATGAAGCGCTGGCCCCATACGGAGGGAGCTCCCGCTCGAAACTACATCGATATTCATCCACAGACGAGATTCCCTCTTGAGACTTCCTCGATATGAGTGAGTGTGGACGCGTGGAAATGTGAATGTGTCGGTGATGACGATAATGATCGAAACCCTCATCTGGCCTGAAAGCTGCTCTGACGATCTCTGGGCGACATCGGCTTATTATACCTATACGACCGCCCTGCGGGCGATAAGGAGGTTGGGGGGGATTGGGATCAAATGCCGGGACGCCCGGGACACCCGGGACACCGCCCGGCCCAAGTGGAACACCTCCTGGCCACTGGCGGACGGGAAACGGACTTTCGCTCCTACTTCGGCCTAGCTACAGGAGGATCACGCGCAGCTTCGCCTCGCCCGCACGCACGACACGAACACGAAACCGAAACCGATTTCCCGGTGGGGGTTCTCCGTTGCACTACGATCTCACCGCCCAACCTCCGACTAAGTCAGCAGAGCGAGATCGAGGATTGCATTTGGCAACTGGCAAGCTTGGCGGACCGTTTGGCGAGGCCTGGGGATTCCCACCGTTAAATAGGTAAAAGAAAAGGGGGCAGGTCGGGGCTAGGGACGGCGCAGCATAAATACCTTGAGGTAGCCAAAATAGGCCGCGGCGGGAGACCACGAATGCTGCGCAACGCACTCTCATTATCTAAACCCTTCTGGCCAAAGAACCGTTTTGACGATCCCTGGGCGGCATCCTGGTTTTCATGCTTTTTCACAAGCAAATAGACAACAAACACAAGACTGAGGGCTTCATTGGGCAGCCTGCAGAATGGGCGGACAAGTCTGGCGAGCTTTGAGACTTCCCTTTGTAGGGGCCCTGGGACAAACAAATAAATACATACAAATAACAGGATTCCCTATTTTTCCCAACCATCCTGTGTTGGGTCCTCGTTTTGAAGAGACAGCGCCCCGCGTTCAACCTTCCTCCTCCTTCCTCCTCCTTCCTCCTTCCTCCTTCCTCCTCCTCCTCCTCCTCCCCCTCCTTGCCTCTGCTCTCGGCACACCTCTCACACGTTTCGCCCCCCACCCAGGGCAGCGCTTCGTAGCCCCATAGGAGGCGCCACCGAAGGTCCCAGCAGCACAGCCCGCATGCGGTTCCCCCACCCAGGGCAGCGTTTCGTGGCCCCATAGGGAGCTCCACCGAAGGTCCCAGTGGCACAGCCCGCATGCGGTGGGTGGGGGCAGCGCTTCGTAGCCCAATAGGGAGCTCCACCGAAGTTCCCAGTGGCACAGCCCACATGCGGTTCCCCCACCCAGGGCAACGCTTCGTGGCCCCATAGGGAGCTCCACCGAAGGTCACAGTGGCACAGCCCGCATGCGGTTCCCCCACCCAGGGCAGCGCTTCGTGGCCCATAGAGAGCTCCACCGAAAGCCCCAGTGGCACAGCCCGCATGCGGTTCCCCCACCCTGGGCAGCGTTTCGTAGCCCCACAGGTGGCTCCACCGAAGGTCCCAGTGGCACAGCCCGCATGGTTCCCCCACCCTGGGCAGCGTGTCGTGGCCCTATCGGGAGCTACCGAAGGTCCCAGTGGCACAGCCCGCATGCGATTCCCCCACCCAGGGCAGCGCTTCGTGGCCCCATAGGGAGCTCCACCGAAGGTCCCAGTGGCACAGCCCGCATGCGGTTCCCCAACCCAGGGCGGCGTTTCGTGGCCCCATATGGGGGGGCCCCACCGAAGGTCCCAGTGGCACAGCCCCCATGCGGTTCCCCCACCCTGGGCAGCGTTTCGTAGCCCCATAGGGGGCTCCACCGAAGGTCCCAGTGGCACAGCCCGCATGAGGTTCCCCCACCCAGGGCAGCGCTTCGTGGCCTCATAGGGAGCTCCACCGAAGGTCCCAGTTGCACAGCCCGCATGCGGTTCCCCCACCCAGGGCAGCGTTTCGCGGCCCCATAGGGAGCTCCACCGAAGGTCCCAGTGGCACAGCCCGCATGCGGTTCCCCAACCCTGGGCAGCGTTTCGTAGCCCAATAGGGAGCTCCACCGAAAGCCCCAGTGGCACAGCCCGCATGCGGTTCCCCCACCCTGGGCAGCGTTTCGTAGCGCCATAGGGGGCTCCATCGAAGGTCCCAGTGGCACAGCCCGCATGCGGTTCCCCCACACAGGGCAGCGTTTCGTGGCCCAATAGGGAGCCCAACCGAAGGTCCCAGTGGCACAGCCCGCATGCGGTTCCCCCACCCAGGGAAGCGTTTCGTAGCCCCATAGGGAGCTCCACCGAAGGTCCCAGTGGCACAGCCCGCATGCGGTTCCCCCACCCAGGGCAGCATTTCCTAGCCCCATAGGGAGCTCCACCGAAGGTCCCAGTGGCACAGCCCGCATGCGGTTCCCTCACCCAGGGCTGCGTTTCGTGGCCCCATAGGGAGCTCCACCGAAGGCCCCAGTGGCGCAGTTCGCATGCGCCCCCCCCCCACCCAGTACAGCGTTTTCGTGGCCCCACAGGGAGCTCCACCGAAGGTCCCAGTGGCGCAGCTCGCATGCGTCCCCCCCACGCAGTACAGCGTTTCGTGGCCACATCGAGAGCGAAGGTCCCAGTGGCGCAACTCGCATGCCCCCCCCCACCCAGTACAGCGTTTCGTGGCCCCATACGGGGCTCCCCCGAATGCGATACCCACAACTGCATATGGTTGGGTCCTTCGCCAGGCTAATTTCATATGTTTTCAGAGTTTTTGTCTGCCCCTCCACTTCCCATATTTTCCCGGATTTTCCGGGGGAATCGACGATTAATTGTGTCTGTGTGTTTGTTCCCCTCCCGACACTTCTCCGCAAAGTGGTCTGCTATGTGGGGGTGCTGCCTGCCCAGATATTGGGGCGCTGTCCAGACGCAGAGGAGGCGAGGACGCTCGCCACTCACGGCCTGTACTCGGGGAAGGATAAAACCCCCTTTCGTAAAACGTGGTTTAGTGAAAACGACCTGGGGCCCAAAACTGGCGGGTGCAAGCCTGGAAAATGTCGGCCGCGGGGTCTCCTCGAGAACCGAAAACGGACAACCCACGAATCGACGTGTCAGGGTGGGGGTCTCTGTCCGCCCCCGATGTATAGGGCCGTGGAACTGTGCGGGAACGGTTCTGGCTAGCACGGCCTACACAAACCAGACGACTGCCGAGAAGTACAACGAATTTGCTTCAGGGGGAAGCCTCCGGAATGGAATGGCAGGGAGGACCGGCTCCGAGGAGGGGACATCGAGCCCGTTCCTGGGCGGGATGGGCTATCAGGCTCAGATCGGTGATGAATGGGCCATTGGGGGTCGATGCATCCCCCCCACTTAAAGATATCCCCCCGCCCCAGTGATGCTCGACGTTTGGTTTTCGGGTCATCGTCCATGTCTCTGGCTGCCGTTCGGGACGAGTCCGGCCACCAGAACACCCTCGGCAAAGCGCAGCTGTTGAAGCACACCCCAAGGCCAGAAAACGTCCAAGAACTGACGAAAAGGCATGAAATACTTGAAGCTCGAACCTGTCGTCCCCCTTGAGCCTAACCGTCGTTTCCCTTTGATTATTTTCGAAGCCTGGGAGGCCGAATTAGGCCTGCATGCGCAAGGCGTGCGTGTGGGGTCGTCGGGCGTGCGTAAAAGAGTTCGTGAGATCCTATACGCTAGTGCATCTGAGCATGCCTGAACGAATTCAGAGTGGTCATTTTGGGTATGGTCGTTTGGGGTACGTATAGTCATTTTGGGCATGCCTGGACGAGTGTAGAGTGGTGGTGCCTTTTATCTGGGGCCTGTCGCAACTCTCTCGAACAAAAGCCCTTCCCCGAGGTCCCGTGCGCCCGAGGTGAGGACGAGCCCGCCGTATAGGCCGTTTCAGCTGTTGTGCCCGCGCGAGCGAGTGCGGCTCGTCCTCGAAGGATGCGAGTCACGCTCAATGGGAAACCACAAGGTACCGATACCGCTACTCCCCAGACCTCTCCTGGGGTGCGTTCTGACCGGGATTTGGATGCGAATCCAGCGGTGGCGATGAGGGCCGCCCGGGAGGCCCAAAAAGGGGGAAACGAGCGAGGGGTAGAGGTATGGGTACCTTTTCCTCCTCTGAGCTCGCGACTGAGTCGCGAGCGTGCCTCGCATCCTCCGAGGACGACCGAGCCGAACCGAACCCCCCCCGGTTGGCGAGCGGGGGGCGGCCGCCCAGGCCGAAGCCGCTGAGCGAGCCAGCGCCGCGGGCACCGCCGCCGCCGCAGGCCGCGAGGCGCTGCGCGAGCTCGTTGGCGCGCTGCATCCTCGGCGCCCAGGGGGTGAGTTAGTCAGGAGGCAGCTATACTGGGAGGCTTTCGTCGGGAAGATCAAGAAGGAGGAGGCCCCATCTGGGAGCTACTGCGCCGGAGTGCGCTTCGGATTCAGCGGGATGAAGCCGGATTGACGGGATCAAACAGGATCAAGCAGGATTAACCGGGATTAAGCGGGATTAAGCCAGACTTCGGACCAGTGCAAAATCAGAATTTGGCCTCCCAGGAATTGCATCCCAAGTGATGGGTCAAATTTCCACGACCACGACCATGAGGTAGGACGAGGTCCTCATCCTCCGCCTGCTTTCTCCTTTCTCCTCCTTTCTCCTTCCTCCTTCTCCTCCTCCTCCTGCTTCTCCCTCTCCTGCCTACAGTGAGGGCGCGGCCGCAGGAAACCCTCGAAAGAAACCTAGCCCTGAAACCCACAGGCGCGAGATGCAAGTGGGGGAAGCCCAGAGTGCCCCGAACGCAGCAGCTCCATCAACGGCCACGGGAAGCAGCGTGCGGAACGACGAAACCCAGGGTACCCTGACGAAAAGCATACAGTTTCTTGATGCGATCCCCCCCTGTATGGTAGTGGTGGTGGAAACTGAACCCATCAAGAAGGCTCTGGACGAGCAAAAGTACAACCGGCCGAACACGACCGAGCGGGTGCTGATCACGCGGCTGTCGACGAACGAACGATCGGGTGCCGACGAGCGAGCGGTCGAAGACGAGCGAGCGGGTGTTGTGATGGACAAGCGGACGACGAAGGAAGGAACGAGCGGCTTCGACCGATGGGGCGCGGTCGTGACACCCAGCACGCTGTGGCCTCACCACAGAAACATTTACTCGATGATGCAGGCCCGGTCCCCGTTGGGCCACAGCATAGCCGAATCATTTGGAAACTGGCAATTCGCCAAGCACCGAGGGCCTCCTTCGCACACGGTCGAAGAAGAACGAATGGGTGGTATAATGAGGAGTGGACGACGAATGAATGAGAGAACGGCTTCGAACGGGCAGACACATGACCGAGAGATCGAAGGTCCGATAATCGAGGTTGTCGGGCGCTTCTGGAGGTTCTCGTTGCCACGGCTGTACGCAGGTCGCGGAGCTTCGAACGCACGCACGACGACGCCGCCGCCGACGACCACGTCCTCGTTTCAGAATGTCTTGGGGGGGCGTCCCAGGAGGTTCTCGTCGGCACGGCTGGGCGCAGCTCGAACAGCGGGCCATAATCGACCCCAGAAAGATGCAGAATTGATTCTGAGCAGCACACCTCGCGTCTCGTGGAACGACCGAGCGAGACCGAACTGGCGAGCTCACTGGAGCGTTCGTCCGCTCGCTTCGAACGGACGAGGGCTCGAACAAGCTGCCTGAGCTCAATGGTGCGCTTGGGAACGATCGAGAACACGATCACGATTGCGTGCAAGTGCCAGGGGTCAGCCGAGAGGCTGTGGCCCCTGGAGGAGCTTCGGAGCGCAGAGGACACGAGCTTCGAGACTGGCCTCCGAACCCGGCGTCGCAAAGGAACATCGCGGCGGCCAGCTCCTCTGCGTGCCCGGCCTCTGGCGGGGCGCCGCCCAGCCCCTGGGCCGCAAAACGACTAAGGTAGGGCCAGAAGGCCAGCTCGCCTGGGAAGCGGTCAAAGCCTCGGCCCGTCCAGATTGTTGGATATTCGTGCCTGATCGGTCGCGATCGGAAGCGACCGATCGGCACTCCAAATCGGTCGCGACCGATCGCGACCGACTCCGAAATCGGTAGCGATCGATCTCGTCGGTCGCGATTGGAAATCTCCAGCATCAAATGATCAGGGCGCGCGAAGGAAAACAAACCACGGCGCCGACGCGCCGAGGATGCACCGCGGCGCCGGCGCGCTGCATCCCCGGCGCGGGAGAGCTTCGAGGCGCGGACGTTGGAGGGGGGGAGCTTCGAAGCTAGGGAGGAAGGCCGAGCTAACGGAGCCTGGGCAGGCTACAGACGACGACCAACAATCCGATCAATCAAGGGGGTGAACGCGGCGGCGCCATCTCCGTCCGCTGCATCGACGGAAAGGTGTAGTAGGGGGCTCGCTGCAGCTACAGCAGAACCGATGCGACCGCGGGGGTGAGCGCGGCGGCGCCCACCACTTGGGGGGGTCGCTACTGCGAGCCGAATACCCAGCTGGGGGGGCGTGATGTATCCACGCCCCTGCGGTGCGGACACCCCGAGGTGCGATCCCGCGGGTGCGCGCCGTTGTGGGTGCGCCCCGCGGGTGGGCGGCCGCGCCGGGCCGCGCCGCAGCCGTGGGGCGCGGCTGCCCGGGCGCTCGGGCCGCGAGGCGGTGGGCAGATCGTGGCCACGTGTTCCCCGCGCACGGTCCTCGGCGCGAAGGGCGATAAACGCCAGGAGAAGGCACGCTCGCGGGGCCCGAGAAAGAGGGGTCGGAGATCCCCTCAGCTCCCACTCCCTCTGTGGGCGTGCCCCTTCCCTTTTCAGCTGGTTCCCCTCCTGCGCGCCGAAGCTCCGTACCCCTCCCCACGAAACACCTCCCGTTGCCCCTCGGGCCCACGGTACGCCGCGCTCCCCGCCCCGAGCGTCACGCTGCACGTCGCGCGAGTCGCGACGCGCGGTTGTTTTCTCGCGCTACGGCTCAGAGCGTCACGCGCGAAGCGCAAATATCTTCGCGGCCCTGCATACCCCCAGGACGTCCCCCGAACCCGGAAACTCGGGGATCTCCGAACGGATCCAGATCGAGAGGCCCGTTTCTAACTTCCCGCACCATCAACAATACGACTCCGGGTCCCCGGGGGCGGGTCGCGAGCCCTGCCTGAGCCTAGTAGGCGCGAGACTGGGAGCCGCGACAGTGCGATTTCGGGAGCCAGAGCCTCGCGCACACCCTCCTGGTGGGTGACAAGGAAGGCGCTTATAAGCGACCTTCTGGCTGGTACCTCTTCCTCTATAGAGGAAGAAGGATCAGCCGGGAGGGGGAGCGGGCGACGGGTCGGGAGGGAGAATGAGAATACGAAGGCGAGGAGAGGGGTGAGTGATGAGCGAGAGGAAGGGGGAGGTGAAGCAAGGAGAAGGAGGGGGGAGTGAGCGAAGAAGAGGGGCACGGAGGACGAGGAGGATGGATGGATGGGCCATCATCGATGAGGCCCTGGCGACCGTCTGCACGCCGACGACCGCCAGGGCCCCAAATGTCGCGCCTCGCCCCGAGCGGGCGCCGCAGCTGCGCGCCGCGCCAGAACGACAGGCCACGAGGAGGCCCCCAGACCGAAGCCCACACAGGCTTCCACCCAGACCGTGCCCCTCCGCCGAAAGAGCAAGGCCAGGCGGAAACCACCCCCGCGGGGACAACAGCGGGCACCACAGCACAGCAGCCGCCGGCGGCCACCCCAACCCCAACGGGCATGCGGGTTCGCACCCAAGTGCGAGCCCGATCCCAGGCGGCGGCCCCCCGACCCACGCCGAAGGGCGCCACGCCAGAAAACGAAGCGGACCCAGCACGTCGCGCGAGCCGCCGTCGCCGCAGCTCACTAGCGCCTGGCCTGCAGCCTGAGCTTGGCGACGAGGCCGTCCCTGCGCGTGCGCTTCAGCTCCAGGATCAGCGCCTAGTGCTCCGCCTCGCGCTGCTGGGCCCAGACCTCGAACGGCTTGCCCTCGAACATCTCCGCGGCCGTCGTCTGGTAGAAGTGGCGCTGGAGGGCCAAAAGCCGTCGCGCCCACCCGTGACCCTCCTCTCGTCGAACGGGTCGGAGCCGTCGCCGCGGGCCAACGCGGCGATGGGGGCGGCACCGTCGTCGAGGAAAAACTGCACGTCCGCCTCGCGCGCTTCCCGATGGGCGTCTGCACGTCCACGACGTAGAGGAATATGCGGCACCTCGCGACCTGGCCGCGCAGGAGCCGTCACAACCGTAAGGCGCAGGTCCCGCCAAAGACCTGTCATTAGGACCACCAACCGCTCGCGCAGAAGGACTGCCACCGGGAGGCTCCGATGTGACGGTTTGCGGGCCAGGGGGGAGCCTGAACGGAACCGCCTGCCGTCTCGACGAGGACGCCGCGAAGTACCACCACCATGCCGAGGGGGCTGCTCTCGGACTCGTAGCCCGCGATGTCCGCCTGCACCGCGTCGAATGCGAGGCCCGAGGTGGCGTCCGCGGCTGGGGAGACGCGGCCAGCGTCCTCAACAGCTGCATTCCACTACCGCGCGCCGGAAGTGTGGGGAGGGATACGCGGGCTGCCTGCGCGGCGCACCTTGTCCGCCAGGTCGTTGGCAGCGCTGGTGGGCAAGCTTTGGCCTCGCCTGCGAGCCGCAGGTGCCCAGCACGAGGGCACCGCGTCCGCAGCCGCACGCGCACAAGGAACGCGACGATGCCCCGCAAGAGCCGCTGCGCACGGCGAGCGCCTCGAGGGCGGCCTTCGCACGCCGCGCTGGAGGCGGCTCAGCAGGGCCATCCGCATCCTCGCAATTGATGCGCCCCTCCGCGAGGTGCAATGCATGCCAGCCTTCCACCTGGCGACTGTCAACGGCGGCGCGCGCCTGCATGCCCGCGAGGGGGCGCCCGCGTCCGCAGCTGGCGATGCAGGAGCCGCCGCGGCGTCTGAGGAGGTGCCGCCCAGCCCGCCGTCGAGGAGCACGCTCAGGGGAACGTTTTGCTGCACCACGCCGGGCCCTGCCAGGCTGTTGCTGTTGGCGGCGTCCGCGGCGGCAGGGGAACCAGGAGCGCCGCCTTGCGAGCCGCCGAGGGGCTCGCACTTGAAGGCGACCTGCTCGATGCCGGCGCCTGCCGCGGCCAGGTCGAGCGCAGGACCTTCCCGCCCGCGCTGTGTGCCAGTGGAGACCGCCACGAGCACGGGGGCGGCCGGCGCCAGGCGCTCGATGACCTCGCGGGTCACAGCGTCCTGCTGGCCAGGGGGGGCGAGCGGGGCAGCAAGGCGCATCGCCTGGGCCGCCGCCGCCGCCGCCTCGTGGCTCACTCGGCACGCGCCGAGCTCGGCCTCGAGGGCGGCCACGCGCGAGGCGGCGGCCAGCTTGCCACGGTCCGCGTCGCACGCTGCTGCCCTGTGGGCCCTGCGCGCGGGCCAGAGCGAGCCAGACGCAGCTCCAGCGGGGGGCCGCTCGGCTGCCGCAAGCGAAACCCAGCAGCGGAGCGAAGAGGCGGGCGCGGCCGAGGCAGGGCCGAGAACGGCTTGAGCCAAAATGGTTACGGATGATAGGGACGAGGAGGAGGAGGAGGCGAACACAACAGGCATCACACTTAATGTTGGTCTAACGCAAAAGGATGAGGAAGATGACGAGGAGGAGGAGGAGGAGGAGGAGGAGGAGGAGGAGGAGGAGTGAAGGGGAGGAGTGAAGAGGAGACAGAAGAGAGAGACGAGGTGAGGATGATGAGGGGGGATACCTAACGAAACTAGCTTAAAGAGCATGGAACCGGCGTTTTCAGATGTCCCCACAGCCTCCTGATCTCGAAAGGTCGGAGAGAGAGGGGATGAAAAAGGGGGAGCGAGGAGGTGGAGGAAGACGAGGACGAGTGTGGGGGGGGAAGATGGAAGGTGGGAAGACGAGGAAGAGAGACGGGAGGGAGGCGGACGACGACGACACGGGGGAGGGCGGGGGGGAAGAGGGAAGAGGAAACAGACTGCACTCTGGGCCTGCCCTGGGCACGCCCGCCGGGCCAGGCCAGAACGGCGTACAGTCGAGGTACTACCAGAAGGAACTCCAAATAAGGAACAAAGGGGCTTTTCTGGCCACGGTGGGCCTAGGCCACAAGCATATCCCGCGACACAAACCTAAGAAACAACCCCAATCCCCGAGCCCCTCCCGAACCCAAAGCGGTCCTTATTTCAGCGTCTTGGCTGTACACACCCATCCCAGGCCATGGAGGGAAGTTGGCGGCCCCCCGAAAAGCGCCACCGCGTCTGCCCGAGTCGAGCGGCCGACGGCGAAACCGCACAGCGTCGCCACGCGGGCGGCAGCAGCCGAAGCAGCTGCGGCGGCGGCGCGCTGGTCGGTCGAACACCCCGACTCTGGCATGATCACACTGGGGCAGTCAGGTCCTCGTGCTGTCCCCCGACGCCGAGTGCGTGGATGTCACGGGCGCTGCGGCGGCGGCCGAGGCGGCAGCAGCAGCAGTGGCCCAGCCCAGCTCCTCTGCGAGACCATGCCCTCCAGCGTGCCCGCTGGCGGCTGCGCCTGCGCCTGCGCCTGCGCCTGCGCTTGCGCCTGCCCGGCGCATCGGCGGGCGGGCGGCGCGCGCGCGCGCGAGCGGCAATCTTTCCCCGCCGGCGGAGGGGCAGCGATGGCTGCACGAGCGCGAAAGCCAGAGAGGGGTACAGTTGGGGCGTTGACCCAAGGAACCCGAAATAAGGAACGAGGCCCCTTTTTCCCATAAATTAAACTCCGAGTTTCCATGGAGAACCTCAGGAAAACCCAAGGAGCACTGTAAAACAAGTAAGGAACACGGAGCCCCTCCCAGACGAAAAGGGTTCCTTCTTCAGAGCCCCGACTGCACCGTAAAGCGTAGTGCGCCAGCATGCAAAGGGGAGAAGAGTCAGAGGGGGCGGCCGCGGGGGGGGGAAGACAACGCCACTCAGGGGCGGAAGAGATCTCGCGTGAGTGGGCTGGCGCGGCCAGCCCTGCCCGCGGAGGCCGTGGCAACCTGGTGCGCGTTCTCCGCTCAGGGCTGGGCCTCCCACTACCACGAGCGCAGGTCGTTGGCGGATCGCGCTCGAGACCTCAACGGCTTCAACGCGTCGTTGCAGGCGATGTGCGCTGAAGTCTTCCAGGTATGGAAGATCACCGCCCCTGTGGTGAGAAATCGGGCCCCGACCCACTCCCCGCGGAGACCCCTTGGGTGGGGCCGGTGCAAGCATCGCAAGATCCCCGATGTGTCGTCGAGGCATCGGTGCATCGGCGATGCGGGGCGATCGAGGGGGTCCACTCACGCATCCACGAAGCATGGGATCCTCCGTGCCTTCAACTGGGACTCGGAAGCTGGGGGGCACAGGCCCGACGTTCGCCAGGTCTCTGGCGTGCTCCTCCTCCTCCTCCTCCTCCTCCTCCTCCTCCTCCCTCCTCCCCCTCCCCCTCTTCCTCTTCCTCTTCCTCCACCTCCTCCTCCTCCTCCTCGTGCCCCTCCTGCCCATCAGGTTCCAGGGTGAGCGACGACGGACGACGCGACGCCGATGGCATGGCGAAGTACGACGGCGGCGCAACGACGACGACTGCTTGGTGACCCTACGCGGTCGCTCGCACGCGGGCCGCCTGGGCAGAGCACTGCATGGGAAAGGCCAGTCTCACGCGCGACCTTACGCGGGCAGCTTGTGCGCGAATGTCAGCGCAGTCGACCCTTTGTGTTTAACGTTGCACAGGTGAAGGTACGTTCCCAGAGAAAAAAACAAAACGGCTCGAGGTGTTCCCAGGACGGCCCAGATCGGCGTCGGGATTGCTCGACACTGCGGCAAATGTCACACAAAGAACGGCCCCACACGCAGGAAGCCTCAAACCAACAACCCGAAACTCGGGAGCGGCCAAGAGGGGGGTGTCCAAGAGGGGGGGGTGCAAATCATGACCGGCGGCATGTGCGCGGCCCAGCGGGGGGGCCAGGGACGTAATGAAATAAGAAGAGGCGCCATGAAATCTGGGGAAATATCATGGCCCGCGCCATGATATCCACCCCCCCCTAGTCATCACCCCCCTCTTTTCCGCTCCCGAGAAACTGCTCCCGACACCATCTCTTGCCCGCGTCTCCCGGGATAGATCAACCCGTGAGAGAGGGTCACCATGCCGGGCGCGACTCGTTCGCGACCGACCCCAGACCTGAGAGAGGGCGGCCCACCCAGACATCGAGCGATCTCCTTATTTCGAATCGCTGGGCACCTGCCCCCTACGCCGGGACTTGTGTGTCGTTCAAGGCCCTCCTTGGGCGGCTCTGGGGCCAGAAAACGGCCCCCCTTGGCCGCAGACTGTGCTTCGCGGGCTTTGGCCCACAAATAGAACCCCGACCTCAGACGACACGACTGGTTCGAGTCGCTGGCGTCTGGACCTCTCGAAACCTTCGAAGGTCCTGGGGCCCAGATCGCTCCCCAGAGAAAAAGAAAACGAATCACCTCTGGCCCGAGTCTCTCGAATTTGCCAGAGGCCTGGGAAGACGCGCAGACACAGGACCCGTGCCCCAAAAGTGTCGACGACATCACAACGACGAGCACAGTGTCGACAACGACCTCACAGCCCCCCCTCGGCAAAAGGATACCTGCGTGAATGCGCGTGCGCCGCTCGGCGTGCGCGGACCGTTTGGCAGACCTCGCAGGCGTCTCTGAGCGGTTGCCAGAACAGCTCGCCACCGGCCGGCGTGCGAGCGTGCAGGTGTGCCACGCCTGGCCCTGGGAGGCCCACCGTCGCACCGGAGAGGGGGTGGGGCGGCTCCTCCTCTCGTCAGACTGGAACGGCTACGGCAACACACGACCGCCCTGGAATCTCAAAAAGTGTTCCCACGAATCTCCCGCGCTGAAAACATGTCCCCGCGACTCTCCAACAGATGTTCGCGACTCACATCTTTTCCGGCGAATCTCCAAAAACATCTTCGCGTCTGAACACCTCAAACGAAATTTCCGCCGGAGATTTCCCAGAGATGTTCTGTAGATTGCCGTTCGCCAAACAATGTCGGGAGAGTTCCCCGGAAATTTGAAAGATGTTCTGGAAATTGTGAAAATGACCAAATGCAATGTGGAGACTTCCCCAAGACGAGTTTCCGGATATGTTTCGCCCAGAGGGCACCAAGTCGCGCTTACCATATCGACCCAATCGAATCCTCTGGCGCCACGAAACCATGGCGAAGGACGGTTTTCTCGAAAGTTTGTGGCCTGCGAAGCCTGGCTCGGGCCCTAGTGCAGGAACCACTGGTCCGTGGGAAAGGGTCGAGATTTCCTGGGGGCCCAACCTGAAAATGTCATGCCGTGACGTCGGGCGTCGGATGTCTGGGTCGGTGTCTTAGTTTCTTGGCGGCGCGCCTAGGGGGGCGGCCTCCCATCAGTCATCATCACAATGATCACCATCATCGTCATCACCATCATCACCATCATCAATATCACCATCATCATCCGATGATCTAAGACATGCTGGCCTCTTCAAGCTCGAGTATTTCGAGGCTTCTCAGGAAGGCTTGAACTTTTTCGAGAAGGCATTTTAGAAGGCCCGAGGTCTTCCGGGCCCCCCCCCCCACTGCGTTCTCAGAAGGCCGCCGCCGACCACTCACCCTGCGCCCTTCTATGCGCCGACATCCGCTGCTGCTTCTCCTCCGTGAGGACTGTGTCAGGGGGGATCACCGACCTGGAATCGGCGATACATCACCGATAGATCGGCTGTAGGCTCTCGATAACGAAACCGCACGTTGCAAGGCGGGTGGGCTATTAGGTCCCTATCGGCAATGAACGGGCGAATTGGGGGTCGATGCATTCCATCTTGAGCCTATGTTCCTTTAACGTTGCCCAAGAAAGCTCCTGCTGTGGCGGCGTTGGCTCCCCAATCTCAGACGCTGCGCGTACGCTACAACCTCGAACAACCTCGAGGCCCTTGACCCGATTTGTTCGTACGGTCGAGTTCGATTGGAGAGGATACGCGAGAGGACGCAAGGCCCTTCCGAGGGCCAGATCGCCCCAGGGATACACAGGACATTGGACGCGAAACACAGGGCACCAGGGCACCCTCGCTTTGGAAAGGGTCGACCACCTAACTTAAACTCGCCTGTATGCGTTTCGCGCCGTGGGCGGCTTTTGCAGTGGCCCCGGGACACAGCGAGGGCCCACGAGAGGTCTTCAACCTTGAAAGGCCACGCTGGTATCGCGCCCGCGCGGAGGCGGCGCGAACCTGCTGGTCGGAGGTTTCTCGGGGTCTCAGTGTCTCCCCCCGGCGGGGATCGGCGGAAGGCCTCCGTCGGCCACTCGGAACCGCCGAGACACCGGAGGCGGAGGCTCCTTCGTGGAGGCACGCATGTCGCTGTCGTCGCAGACTGTTTGCGGCCACAAAGCCCGAACGCGACCCGTGCAGGACGGCGAAAGAACCTGAAGGCTGCGTTTCTGCGTCAGTTTGAGGTCTGGGATCCGGGGGTCTGAGATCGACACGAGGACCTCTCCTAGGCTGCGTTCCGCCAGACTTTCGAGGGCAGTCCAGCCATAGCGACGAGGAGCCTCGCGGGGATCCCAAATGGAGGAAACACATTCAAAACCTTGATCGAGCAACCTCGCTCGATCCTGGGATTTTGGTCCCTCCGTGTTAGCCGACTCCCTAATCGCGAACTCGAGCAACCTCGGGCGTCCGCTCGGGGGCTGAAACATCGTGCGCCTTTCCAATCGCAGATGGGCCCGCAGCAACTGTTCAGGGCCGTGCAAGGCTCCGTCAGGGCCGCTCCCCTGCAACCGTCGATCCCCGACGGCACCGGGGCCCGCAGGGGCAGCGCCGTGGCGAGAGCCAGCAGCAAGTCCTGAAGGGGCCCTGGGACACACAAATAAATACACACAAATATCAGGATCCCCCATATTTTCCCGTATTTTCTGGGATTTTGTCGTCCCCCCCACTTCCCATATTTTCCCATATTTTCTGGTGAACTGTGTCTGTGTGACTCTTTCCCTCCTGAAGTCCGCTGGCGGAGAGCCGGAGGAGAGCCAGCCGAGGCAACGCGGCCCTCAAAGTTGCTGCTCTGCGCGCCGCCACGCTGCTCCTGGGTCCCAGGCTCAGGACGGGCATGTCCCCCCTACGGGCGGACTTTGGGGCGAACAATGAAACATGGTAAAAAACATATTCCAGAGTGGTCGCAAAATAGTCGAAAAAAATCTCCCCGACTGATTTCTGCTATTTTTTGATATTCCCCCCTGTGGAGGGACAGGCCCGACGCAGTCCCAGGCGGGCGTCGATGCCGCGTCCCGCTCGCCACCGAACGCCCGGCCCCGATCGGCCCCTCGCCCCCGGGTCCAGCGGGGGCGCTGCGACGGCGGGCCCGCCGTACCGCTGCGGCGCGTGGCCTCCCGGAGCGCGAGGCGGAGGAGGGGAGCGGGGAGGGGCGAAAGGGAGGGGGCGGGGGGAGGGGCTACAGCCACATCGGGAGCGGCCAAGAGGGGGGTGTCCAAGGTGGAGCATGTCGGGGGGGTGGGGGATCATCCTGGGTGCAAATCATATGTGCGCGGCCCAGCGGGGGGGCCAGGAACGTAATGAAATAAGAAGAGGCGCCATGAAATCTGGGGAAATATCATGGCCCACGCCATGATATCCACCCCCCCCTAGTCATCACCCCCCTCTTTGCCGCCCCCGACCACAGGCAGATGGACGAAGCATCTCTGGCAGTTGGCAGAAGACGCCGCCACCAGCGCCACCGACCTCGCCCGCGCAGTAAGCAGCGGCAGCAGCGGCAACGGCGGACTGGCAGCGGGGGGGCGCGCAATGAAAAGACATGATTGACCCACCAACCGGGATAGGGATATAGAAATGTGGAGCATGGAAATCGCTCAAGACACCAAATTTGGGCGACGGGCAATTGCAATGCTCCAAGGTAGCGATGGTGATGTGCAGTGCAAGGGGCCGTGCTGTGCTGTGCTGTGCTGAACTGAGACGCGCCATGCCGCGTCGAAGTGGTGTGCGAACCAGATCGTCCGTGGCGTCAAAGTCTCGATCGAACTGATCTGGATCTTAAGCTTGAGCTGCCTGAACGCACAACTCAGATCTGGCCAGCTCCAGCTCAAGACCCGATTCAGTTCGTGAGCGGGACGAAGCGACAAGGGGCGAATCTGAACGGTTCTGTGCCATGTGGCGTCGTGGATTAATATTCCCTGGAATCGGAATCCTGACAGAACTGAACTGGGCCTCAAGCTCGAACTGCCTGGGCGCATGACTCGCCCAAAACTGATTGCAAACGGGACTTCACGAAAGGATTATGTTCCGCAACAGGACAAACTTAGAAGAACGAGTCCAGTCCAAACCGTTGCGACGTACATCGAGAGGTGGCGGGCCGAAACGCCGACGACGACATGACGGTGGACGGCGACGACAGCGACCGCGGTTCCAACTAGGGACCACCATGTTAGATATCCAACTGGGTGGTCTGGACACGTGACAACACGTAGTACCAGCTCGGGACCGCCATGTTAGATGCCCGTGCAAAATCTGGAAAACCACCAGCCGAAGGTTATTCCACATCTGGTGCCGACAAATTGATCGTGTCTGGCTCTTGTGGGCCCCCGCGCTGGTGGCGCCCAGACGACCACACGTTAGATAGCCCCTCCTTGGGTGGCCCGCGCACGTAAAAACACATGATTCCAGCTCCGGGCCACCATACCAAATACCCCATCTGGGTGGCCTGGACACGTGAAAACACGTGATTCCAACTCTGTGCCACCATGTTTGATACCCCTCTGGGTGGCCTGGACACGTGAAAACATATGGTTCCAGCCTCGGGCCACCATGTTAGATACCCCTCTGGGTGGCCTGGGCACGTGAAAACATGTGGTTCCAGCGAGGGGAAAAACGCAACCATCTTAAACATCCACCACTGGGCGACCTGGACACGTAAAAACACATGGTTCCACCTCAGGACCTCCATGTTAGATACCTCCCTGGGAGGCATGTACACGTAAAACGCGTGGTTCCAGCTTGGGACCATCGTGTTAGATATCCCCCCTTCTGTGGCCTGGACACGTGAAAGCACGAGGGTCCAGCGCGGGACCACCGTGTTAGATACCCCTCTGGTTGGCCTGGACACGTGGATTCCAGCTCGGTGCCACCATGTTGGATACCCTCTGGGTGGCCTGGGCACGTGAAAACACGTGGTTGCGGCCTCAGGCCACCATGTGAGATACATTCCTGGGTGTGGCCTGGGCACATGAAAACATGTGGTTCCAGCGAGGGGCACGAGGCAACCATCTTAGATACCCACCCCTGGGCGTCCTGGACACGTGGAAACACTTGGCTCCAGCTCGAGACCACCATGTTAGGTACACCCCTTGGTGGCCCGGACAAGTAAACCACGTAGTTCCAACTCGGGACCACCATGTTAAATACCCCTGGGTGTCCGGACACATGAAAACATGTGGTTCCAGCTTGGAACCACCATGTTAGATACATCCTCGGTTGGCCTGGGTACGTGATAACATGTGGTTCCAGCTCGGGGCAACCATGTTAGATACATGTCTGGGTGGCCTGGACACGTGAAACAACATGGTTCCAGCGAGGGGGAACCATGTTAGATACCCCCCTGTATGGCCTGTAAATATGGAAACACGTGGTTCCAGCCCGGGACCACCATGTTAGATACCCCAGGGGGACATCTGAAAAATGAAAGGCCGACGCAACTGTATTCAGTTATTACTAATTACACATATGGTGCCGGTGTATTGATTTTGTCTGGCTCTTGTAAGCTCGGGGCCACCATGTTAGATACTCCCCTGGGTGGCCTGGACACGTGAAAACATGTGGCTCCATCTGGGGGCAGCCATTAGATTCCCCCCCTGGGCGACCTGGGCACGTGAAAACAAGCAATTCGCCTGAGAGATGCTCTGAATACTGCCCCCCAAGAGAAGAGCATAAGACAGAACAACCGTTTCTGCAAAACAAATTGTTATACTCCACCACCGCCTGCAACAATACGTCATTGCAAAACTGGTTAGGGGCAGAGTCATGCCAGACGACGCAGTGACGCGGCGGCGAAAAGGAAATCGGCGCAGCGCGCAGGCGCCGTGGTATGGGGAGCTCCTGAATCAGAAGGAACACTTCTTGGTGGTGGTTATAAAAATTGCTCCTCTTTGCAACCAAAATTATACTCAGCACCACCGCGCGTGCCTTGACGGGGTTGTCGTTGGCGGCGGGAGGGGGGCTGCGGGATTTTCACCAGAGCAAGACTGCACCAAATCGTATCGTAGATTATTCCCGATCTTGGGGGTGGTAGTCATATATTGTGATCGGGATTTCTCAACAAATTCCAAACACACATACGTTCGACAAGCGTTTCGCTCGAGACATCCGCAACAAAACGAAAATGATCACTTTACCATATCTTTAATCGAGCGGGATATTCAAAAACCAGCGTTTCGATCGGGACATCCTCCACATCTAATCCGGCGGCCCTCTTCGACCTCGTTATGTAACGCGCATCGATCTGCCGGCCCTCAAAACCTGGCACCAGGGAGAGACTGCCATCTCACAAAAGAACCCTCTTCGAACTTGGCAGCGGGAACCACAACCGCGCGCGGCGGGTCGGCTGCGCCATCTGGGCTCAAGGCGTCACTCCGGACCACATGCGTGCGGAGCCAGGTGTCGGCCGAGGGCCGCGCTTGCTTTGCTGTTGCTGCTGCTGCTGCTTCTCGTCTTCTCCTCGTCGTCCCCTTCTGCTTTCTTCCTTTTTCCCAAGCCACAGGGCGCCCAATCCGAGCTGGTAAAAAAAAAAAGTGCGGAGCGCACCCCTGGCGACGAGTCGTGCCCGCCCTGCTGCACCCGCACCTCCCGGAAGCTCCCTTCGCGAACTCCTGCTGCGCCCCCTGCTTCGAGGCGCGGGATCCGCTCCGGCTGCCGAGGCTGGAGAGGACGCCCTGACGCTGTAGTTGTGGATGCCACGACCATGGACACCCGAACAGTCCTATCATTGAATGTAACATGTGTTGAAAAAAGAGGAAATGTTAGAATCAGGTGTTAAGTATGTTCTTCACATGTCTAAAAACATGTTTGAAACCTGTTCTCGTCGTCTGGAAATTGTTTGGCAACATGCTTCCTCTACATTGATCCTCCGCCACAACACTGTAGACAGAGGCAGAGCCCGTGCCCGCCTGCCGAGGCAAGCCCAACGACAACGCTCGCATGCCCGCCGAGGCCCGCACTCGCAGACCGCTGCCCGCGAAAGCAGGGAGAGCCCGAGGGGCCTCCAAACGCCCCAAGGGAGGCCGAACCTTGCCCTACGAAGCGAAAGCTTTTACGGTCCACTCGCGGAGCCTCCGCGGGAGTCCCTTAAGCTCACCGCGAACCGAAGAGGGCACGGAAGCTGCCCCCTCCTTCCCGCCCCATTGTTGTGTGTTCCGGCGCTTCCCTTCTCCGAGCAACTCGCCAAGGAATCGCTTCTGGATGGGCTGGCTGCGACACCCGGAACGTGGCAGATGTTCTACCAGAGCTGGCCGTCGCGACGATGAGCCTCGCAGAGGCCCAGAACTGGAGAAACACGTGTGGCACTGTGCCGCTGGGCCTCCCAAGGGAGCCGAGGTCCAGCCCGGGTGAGCGGAAGACGTCCCTCCGCTGGGCCTACCGTTAACCCCCGACGGTAGCGACAGCGGCGCAGGTGGCAGCCCTGCAAGAAGCGCGAGAGGGAGTGGGAAGAGCGGCGAGACAGGGATCGAGGAAGACGTGAAAGCAAGGACCCGACCAGAGGGAAGGTCGAATGAAAAGCGGTGCAAAAACGCCGTCCCCGAACCTCGATCCCCGACCCCCCGCCAGGCTGGCCACCTCTGGGGTGCTGTATTCCTGACCCCCCCCTGGGGGTCCCTATTGTCGAACATGAACAACACACCTTCGAAATTCCAACCCGTTCGAAACGCCCTCGAATAATGATCTCTTTTCAATCGGTTTTCCATTCGCACGACATGAGACACACTTTGCGGCGCACATTCGAAAGACATGGAAACAAGTTTGGGGCGTCTGGACGCCTTTCACACTAAAGTTGCAGAGTTCGAGGGCGTCTGGGGCCAACTTTACGAGCTCAGGTGCGCTTGGGCACGGGCTTGCGCTATAGGGGTGCTTCAGAGCAGACTTGTGGTTTGGGCCGGGTTTGTTCGGCCCTGCCCTCGTATCGACGAGCCCTCGAGAGGCGTGCGCCGAAGCCGATGGAACGCCCCCTGCGGCCTGAGGACCACAGTTCCCCAAGTTGCGGCAGCATGAGTTTAGCGTCGACGTGAAGGGGGGCCGGCTCGGCGGGGGGGAATCATCCAGTTGGAATCCGCGATACGTCGCCGAGAACCAGATCGGCGGCGAGCCCCCGATGGCGATATACCGCACGCTCCTCGGCGGGAAGGGGCCATCGGGCCCCCATCGGCGATAGCTGGGCGAGGAAGGGTTGATGCGCCATCGGCGATAGCTGGCCGATGCGTCGCGCCCCCCCCTGAGCCTGCCCCCCCCCACGTTGCCCCCGACATCCGACGACGTGATGCGCGACCCAGAGGTCCCGACCCCTCCCGGGGATTTCCCTCCCAGATCCATGTTTGATAGTCCTGGGCCCGGTGACGGGCACCGGGGTCCGAAATCAAGGAAAGACACCGGGACTGCAAAGATCAGGCCATGGGAGATGTGGGACTGTGGCTGGACGACCACCGCCCAGCCTTGCAAGCCAGGAATCTACGCATGTCCGCCGTCCTGGGACCCTTGTGCGTCTTGGACATGGCTCCTGGCCCCCGGGCTGCCCGCAGACGTCCACATCCACCGCCCGCCGCGGTCCCCGAGGATCGATCGCAAAGGCGGTGGCTCTGGTGACTACCTACCAGACCACCCCAACCCAACCCGAAGACCCGAATTTCGGGTTGGGGGGGGGGTATGGGCTCCATATGTGTTTTTTCGATGTTCCCGGACCCCCCCCCACTAGAAATCGAGGGTAAATCTGAGCCTTCGGGTTGGGTTGGGGTGGTTTGGTGGGTGGTGATCTGGAGGCACCTCCCCGCCGCGGGCGTCCCCCCCCCCGCCCGGCAGCTGCGACACCGCGGGAGCCCGCTGCTGCATCGGCCCCGACGGCTGCGCCTGCGCGTGGCCGGCGGGGTGCGTCGGCGACTGCGAGCGCTGCACGGTGGCGGGCACCTGGCGCCCGGGAGCGCGCGCGCGGGCGAGAGGGGGGCTCTTCGGATGCCCGCGGAGCCCCTCGAGGCCCTCGGAGGTCGTCGGGCGACTGCGGGCGGCCCACGCCGGTCCCTCGTAGGCCTTTTGGGGCCCTCGGAGACCTTCAGAGGGGGGTTCGGAGACCTGCGGAGGCCTTCGAGACCTTCGAACGAAGGCCCGTGAGCGTGGGCGCGCGCCGGATGTCGCGTGTGATCGCGCCGCCAACAACAACATGATCGACCCACGCAAACGGAAAGGGAGATGGAAATGTGGGGCATGCTAGCGTTCTCGAGACACCTGATTGTGCGACGGGCATTTGCAATGCTGCAAATATCGATCTTGGTGTACCGTGCCCAAGGCTGTGCCGTGCTGTGCTGTGCCGTGCTGAACTGCGATGTGCCATGCCGAGATTGTGCTCTATAGCGTTGTGGATCTAGTCCTCCTTAGCACTCGAGTCCTGAACGAACTGATCGGGATCTTAAGCTCGAGCTGTCTGAGCACATAGTAGCCGCCCCAGAGCTGCTGAAGTGGAAACGTGGAGGACGTTCAATCAACTCGACCTCAACATCCGACTCAGCTCCGAAAAGGAACGACACGACACGGGGTACAGGCTCACTGACGCGCTACAGGATGTGCCAGGGGCTCAATGAGGGATGCGCCAGGGGACGAGTCAAGGGACGCATCAAGGAACGTGCACTGGACGGACCTGCCACGGGACGTGCCAAAGCGCGTGCCATGGGGCGGCCAAAGGATGTCATGCCAAAGGACGTTGCAAAGGGCCCGCCGCGGAACGGGCAGGGGAAACGCCTGAGGACGAGCAAGGAAACACGGCAGAGGACGAGCCCGGTAACGTGCCACGCCGAGTGGCGTGCTCGGGGACCTGCCAGGGCACGTCACGCCTGAACGTCGCAAGGGACGAGCCAGGGGGCGCGCCACGGCGCCAGGGGACGCCCCACGGACGGTCGGGGTTGGACTGCGACGCACTCTGCTGCGACAAGCGTTTCGCTCGAGATATCATCAACGAATCCTCATGCTAGACATCCGCCTGGGCGACCTGAACACGTGACGCCAAGCGAATCGCTCGAGACGTTCTCAACACCTCGTCATGCTAGACATCTGCCTGAGCGACCTGGACACGTGAAAACAAGCGAATCGCTCGAGACGTTCTCAACACCTCATCATGCTAGACATCCGCTTGGGCGACCTGGGCACGTGAAAACAAAGGTTTCGCTCTAGACTTTCTCAGCTTATCCTCATGCTAGACATCCACCTGGGCGACATGAACACGTGAAACCAAGCGTTACGCTCAACACATTATCATGCTAGACATCCGCCTGGGCGACCTGGACACGCGAAAACGAGCGGCTCGCTCGAGAATTCCTCCGAACATCTCTATCTTAGACATCCGCCTGGGCGACCTGGGCATGTGAAAACGAACGTTTCGCTCAACCTATCCTCAACACATCCTCATGCTAGACATCCGCCTGGGCGACCTGGACACGTGAAAGCAAGCGTCTCGCTCAAGGCGTCTTCATGTTAGGCATCCGCCTGGGCGACCTGGGCACATGAAAACAAGGGTTTCGCTCTAGATCTTCTTAGCTTAGTCTCATGTTAGGCATCCGCCTGGGCGACCTGAGCACGTGAAACCAAGCCATAAACATCCTCAACAAATCCTCATCGTAAACATCCGACTGGGCGACCTGGACACGCGAAAACGAGCGTGTCGCTCAACACATCCTCAACACATCCTCATGCTAGACATCCGCTTGGGCGACCTGGGCACGTGAAAACAAGAGTTTCGCTCTAGACTTGCTCAGCTTATCCTCATGCTAGACATCCACCTGGGCGACAGGAACACGTGAAAACAAGCGAAAGACATCCTCAACACATCCTCATGATACCATCCGACTGGGCGACCTGGACACGTGGAAACAAGCCTGTCGCTCAACACATCCTCAACACATCCTCATGCTAGACATCCGCCTGGGCGACCTGGACACGCGAAAACAAGCGTCTCTCTCTCTCGAGTCATTCTCAATCAGTCCTCATGCTAGGCATCTGCCTGGACGACCTGGATGCGTAAAAACAAGCGTCTCTCTCGAGCCTTCCTCAACACATCCTGATGTTAGACATCTGCCTGGGCAACCTGGAGGCGTGATGCCAAGCGTCTCGCTCGAGACATCCTCAGACCCTGGCACGCTAAAACAAGCAGTTCACCTGGTCCCCAGGAGAGGAACGATCTATAGCACAAACCGAACGTTTCGCTCGAGACATCCTCAATCAATTATGCAAACAAGCGGTTCGCTCGAGACATCCGCAACAAACGCATGTTTTACATAACCCTTTGTTTTATCGATCGGAATGTCAACAACCAACGCTTCGCTCGGGACATCCTCAAACTTAAATCCGGCGGCCCTCTTCGGCCTCGACATGTATCAAAGAACGAATCCGCTGGCCCTCTTCGAACTTGGTAGCGGGGACAAGTTTCCACGCTAAAGAAAACCCTGGGCCCAAGTCCTTTCTAGGAACACGCTGGCCACTCTTGAGACGAGTAGATAACTTACAGGTCTGGGCAGGGGCGTAGGAACAGGACTGGCGTGCAGTCGAAACAGGGCCACAAGAACGCGGTCGATCACATAAGCCCCTTCGACGAGGACCATCGCCCGATGGATATACCCGCACCTCATAGCAGCCCAACAGGGTAGTGCTTTGACCTCGACGCAAACTCCACCTCAACTCCTGAACCCCTTACGCGCACTATGCTGGGATACGCTTGGCCGCCCAGCCACTCGGATTGCTCTTTCTGAGCTCGATGGGGGTTGAAAATGGCGCTAGTATTCATGCGCGCGCGCTTACTTGTGCGCGTACGCATGCGCGTGCGGTCGAGCATGCGTGCGCCTTCAATGATCTTCGAAACCATATCAACAGCATCACATTCGCAAGCGCAACTTCTCAACGACGTCAACATGCTGGGCTTGACCAGAACTCGACGCTGATGACTTCTGAAACGACAGACCCGAGGACTGCCAAGACTATATTGCGTTTCCGATCTGGATTGAGCCGCTCAGCAAGCTTGCACAGTAGAGCTCTCTGCATCCAAGACGCTGAGCGTGCGCTATCTCAGCGAGCAGGCAACAACGACGACTACACTGAAAAGCAGTTGCGCCAGATCGGGATCTGGTTCTGGAAAGAGCACGCACCAGATCAACGACTAGTACACCTCGACGCCATGCAGCAATACTCCCTCAGCCCAACGGCAAGACAGGAGGGAAACCCCACCGAAGCCCATTATTTCGTCATGAACGGTCCTATGCCCACTGCTGCAAAGAATGGCAGGTAACCGTACGGAACCGCCACGAGGGATCAGAGGCTGCGATGAGGAAGTACGAGGTGTTACCAGTACGACGGCGAGAGTCATACGATCGTACTGTATCATGATGATGGGTACCACATGATGTACGACCTGTGCTACCGCCGTTTGCAATCGACTCAAACGGGACCCGGCGTCCGACTACGGCATCGCAGACCGAACCATTACCGTCAATCCCCTACGCCACTAGCTACACAAACGAAGTTACCGCGTGGACATTTGTTCAGGATGGTGCGGGAGCAGTCCCGCGATCCATCTCTCACCTTACCCCCCCCCCTCCCTGGGTCGACGGAAGGGGGGAGGACAGCGAATGAGCACACGCAGCTGATCTTCATGGCGCCTCACAGCGCCAGGAGGCTCAAACGCGTCGAGGCAGGCGCCCGGCGGCGGGGCCAAAACCCCGCCACATCCTGCAAGTTTCCTACCCCCCCCCCCGTTCCCGATTCCCCCCTTTTCCGTCCGACCGATGGAGGGTCACAGAGGCAAGAGGGAGGACGAGGGAGGAAGACGAGGAAATAGCTAATATAAAACACGGCTATGGTCGGGCGTTGGCAGAACCGGGTTTAACGGAACCTTGTTAAGCGATGGGTACTGGGGGCCGCCCCTCCGCCCCGCTCCGGTCACCGGAACTGCCGTCCCCCGAACAAAAAAGCACGAGCTACGGCAGACCTGGCTTAGTGACTCTGGCCAGTTTAGGGGTTCCGAGGCCCTACCACCAACTGGATCCCCTTACGGCAAGTTCGTGTCGTGCCGACCCCAGCGTTGGTTTTTGACACCGCAGGGATCGTTCAACCTTGAACGATTGGCCGCTGCCGCAACGTCCGATCGTTCAACATCGATCGATTCTGGGTCGCCGGCGGCGTTCAACATTGAACGCCCGCGCTGGGGTCGCCGCCGGTCGACACGACGCAAACCTACCGTAGTGACTCTGGCCAGTTTAGGGGTTCCGAGGCCCTACCACCAACTGGATCCCCTTACCGGGGGGTCCTGGCTATACCCGATGTGGATCCGCAGCTCTCGGTTTAACAGGGGAAAGCGCGGCGGTGGTGGCAGCCCAGAGCGCCGCGCTCGGCGCGCGCCAGCAGAAATGGAGTTTTCAAATGAAGAGGTTCACATTTGAACTACAACATCGACCAAATCAGAATGCGCCCGTCGGGCGAACAAAAAAATGCCACGAAAATCGAGCAGGGCCCATGCGGCCCTGACGGATCGAGGAGTTGGGTCCCAGGGGCGCGCGCACCGATAGATAAGGCAGGGCGACCCCAGACAGGGAGGGACAACAGGCCCAGAGGCCGTATAATATTCACGTTGCCCCCAAGGGCCGAGGCAGGCGAGGGGAGCCAGAAGGCAGGAGGGAGGAACGCGAGGGGAGCGAGGGCAAAGGCACCAACTGCGGAGGGGCCCCCAGGGTCGGCGGCGCGTGCGATCGGGGGCTCACCCCGCAACGACAGCTGCGACATGTAAAAAAAGGGCCAAGTCTATGCGTGCACGAAATGCCCCTGGTAGCCAACGTCATCGACCCGGACGAGCCCGATGATGCTCCAGAGGCGGCACAGCACGAGGCCCACGTCAGTAACAGAGCAGAACACGTGGGCGCAGAAATCGGTCGACA